TATATCGGCTTAAACGCGCGTGACGCGATGACGTTTTGGCCAGAATATTTTCGTTTTTTCTCATACACTAACAAGCATAAAAAGCTTACTTCTTCGCTCATATATGCGTCCCTAATCGCACTATAGATATATGAAAAAAATCAGTTTGTCTTTACAAGTCGCTTGAAAGTAGTCGATGAAACTTATGTCGTAACACGATGACGAAAAAACGACAAAATATTGACAGTGGTATACAAGATTACTATTTTTCTGCGAATCTATACGATATCAAAGGGAACATTTGTTAGATGTTTTAAAGCCCACGCCTTGATGTTTTTATTGATGTACTCGATTTGATAAAAAGATTAAATATTCTGTCAGCAAGTCATAGTTAACTGATGTAACGCGATGATGCTGCTTTTTTAAACGAGTTTCTTTCTCAAAGCTAATTAGATTTATGTGTGTGGCAGTATCAGTATATGCTATTCTCGTTCAAAAACATCAATCAAGAAGGTCACACAGCTCTAATTTATTAGTTAGTGTAGCAAAAAGTAGCGTGAGTAATAAGTGATCTCGATGAAACGTATTTACAAAAAACTACATATACATCTCAGCACACATATGAAATAAGAATCTTTGAGCCATATGAATAAAATATAACGGCACTGTAAATGCCACGACACTGTCAAAATGAAAACACCGAGGAAAGATCAGTTAAAGTAACTGTAAAAAGTGACTTTTGAGCTTTAATCATATATTAGTTGGAATTCTGTACTAATCAGATGGAAAAACGATATTTTTTCGAATGTTTACTATTAGAATAATATTTGTACTCTACTATATTGTCACCTATAGCTTTGATTGAATGTATTTTTTTGGTTTCTGGCACTGGCTTAACTGATTTGAAAATATGTTCCAATTGAGTTTTCGAATCATCAATTTCATGTTGTTCTATTTCATCGATTGAAATTATCGCTGTTTTTGATCGACCAATTTTAACAAAATCGGCAGCTGATTTACACTGCAGTCCACTTAAGATTGCTAAATAAACGAGGCGTTTGAGAGAACCACCGATACCGTCAACTACACCTTTGCCGTGAGTTGTGGCAAAAAAGTGCCACGACAAATCAATCTAGATAGCGTAAAGAGATAAAAGTACTTGATGAAAGATGGCCGTCAGTACCTTGAATTTGGCAGACAAACGACATAAGTTTCGAAACAAAAAACGTTGCTTGAATTGTTGAGTAGCACCATCCGAAAACACATGAACTTCTTTCAAATTTGAGAATTGACTTTTCAGCTTTTGAAATATATGTTCAAGAGCTGCATTGACATGATATTTATCATGAGACAATTCATCAGCAACACAGACGTATGATTGACCACCATTTGAATGCCAGATGTAACAAGTAAATAAAGATACCGAATCTTTCGAGTAGAACGAACTTTGTATTGCATCTTGAACGTCAATATGAAAATTTTCACTGAAATCAACCTGAATACAAATTGTTTGATCATCCAAATTCGATTTCAAGTTTTCGAAAAATGCTGATTGTTGCCGTTTAATGAATACATGAGCCAAAAACGTTCCAATTTGTTCTTTTAAAACTGTTGCACACCTTTTAACCGAACCCGTGAATTCCTCCTTTGTAGGAAAGCCATTTTGCGATGTCCATTGAGACCATTGAATTTGTTTATTTGGATCAATAATATTTTGGTACACTTTTAAGTCGAAGTTGTTCGAACATGATGAACAACGGCTGAACATGCAATCTTCATTTTGTTCGTTACATACTGGAGCTGATAAAAATGTCTGAATTGAATTTAAATCCGTAGATTTGACATGTTTCGACAGAGATTTTAATAATAAGTTCACATTTTCGTGGTACGAACATAGACAACTTCGATGACACAAAGAGGATTGAAGTAACACATGAATTGGTCGTAATTCAGTAAACGAAGTTGTTGACAAACTAATATTCGGATCTTTATTTTCTGCCAAAAATAGTTGATAAGTTTCACGGATGCTGCATAAAAGAATCCGCTTCTGCACTGTGACTCTTTGGCCATTATCATCATTGAATGTAACACAATCACGCTTGCCAGGCATTTGGTAACTAATGTCATCACGATTGTAGAATTGTTCAACAGCTCGTTTGGTTTCGATTGATAATGATCTTTGTTCTCGTTTAGCTGTAGCAGTTGATTTTGGAATAACATCAAATAATTGAGCAATGTGATGAACAACATGATGACGCTTATTTGGATCTTTAGGTAATGCTTTTAATGTGCGTTGAACTGCTTTACCGAGCGTTTGACGGGATTGGTAAGTAGATGATCGAGAATTGGTTAAACCTTTGGACTTCAATTTTTCACGATATCGCTTCGATGCATTCTTTTGTCGAAGCCGTAAATTTTCCAGTGACCTTGCATCTAAATTTTTACGTCTTGCGTTATCACGACGTCGAGCTTTTGCTTTCACTAGTTCTAGTTTCGATTTGTCTTTTGANGTGCGTTGAACTGCTTTACCGAGCGTTTGACGGGATTGGTAAGTAGATGATCGAGAATTGGTTAAACCTTTGGACTTCAATTTTTCACGATATCGCTTCGATGCATTCTTTTGTCGAAGCCGTAAATTTTCCAGTGACCTTGCATCTAAATTTTTACGTCTTGCGTTATCACGACGTCGAGCTTTTGCTTTCACTAGTTCTAGTTTCGATTTGTCTTTTGACAAATTGATACGATAAAGTTTTTGTCGTTCAGCATTGGTTTTAGTCATTGTAATATAAGACAAAAACTTCTTATCAGCAAAAAGCGATTCAAGTAAGCAAGATATTAGTGGAAAATAGTTTTCGATAGTAGGTTAGTGTGAATGACAAGATCAAATTAACCGAAAGTTATCAATTTAGTAGTATACAATTAACAAGAATTCTGATTGGCAGTTCATTTTTAACGGTTTGTCAAAGCTGTCAAAATCAGAACTAATCAGATTTAATCATGTGAGAGCACGCTATTCAATTAAAAAATTTTAAATTTGTTCATTTTTCTACTTGGAAATTGAAAAATTTGCTTTTGTAATAGTATTTCCTGCTTTTTTGAGAAAATTCAAATAATTGAAAAACATCATCACGTTACGAACATATTTCTACAGAACGGATTTCTTTGAAACAAAACTAAGTGAGTTAAATAGGTCGAGGAAAGTTTCCTTTGGTTATAAGGATTTCAACAAAATAGAACTAGTATTAGCAGGTAAAAAAATTAAAATAGCCAATTTTTGTTACGCGATGATGTTATAAATAGACTAGTATTGTCTGAGCTCATTTCATAGAGGTAAAAGGTATGTAAAATTTAATGACTATGTGAAAAGATACTTCTATCCTTGAAAGGGTTATTCATATTGACGATTCGTGAAAATAACAAAGTGCATCAATAAAACAATTAAAACAATATACGGCATAAATACGATCAAAATTTTCATTTCGAACTAATGCATTTGTTTATATAAAATTTTCACAAATTCCAACGATTTGAACTAAAACAAAATATGTTTCCACACACTTTAGACTATGCTCTGTAAGATAGTTTTGAAAGCTTTCCAAAACAATAAGTTCAAACTCACACCCTCGGAGGTGACGCGTTACGCGTTTAAGCCGATTTATTAAATGTTCTTCAGTACATATATAATAAAAGTTCAAACACCAAAAGAAAAGGATCTTCAATAAACAAGAGAATATAAAAAACATAATCCAAACAATAAATTCAAAAAAATGTCCACCAGCATTAGTAGAGATTGTTCCGAGTACTTGTCCATTGAGTTCAGTAGCAAGAAGAAAAGTAAAATAACTTAGATGTATTACATAGAAGAGAAATAGTCGATTTGTACTACATAAAAGCAAAAACATTTTGAAAACTAGTGCAACATGAAAGTACAATATTCACTTTATTGATTATTCATTGCTGCTTTCCTTTCTTTACCAATAATTGTACGACGTTTAGCCAATATGGCATTGTGAAGCCACTCCCATATATGATTAAGTTCTTCAGGACATAAACGAAATTTACTTCGAACAGCTTCTAAAACATCAATTGATAATATAAAAATTAATACATTATGGTCACTAATCTTTTAATAAACCATATCGATCATCGCTGACCATATCTTTTGTTTCAATAGCAGTGAGCTCTTCGGATTTAAAAATAATATCCATCAATGAAGTCACACAAAGATTAGCATGTTCTTTAACACCATTCTGTTTCAGCAGATCAACAACAGCACCATTTGTTGATGTAAATTTCTAAACAAATACATACAGTGTTTGAGTTCAGCATCTTGGTCACTGAATGTACGGATGGATTGATTCTGACTTTGCGAATATGAATCTAACTTTTTAAATGCAATTTCTTCGTGAAAATTAGACGTGAACGCCTTCTTTAAATGAGTAACGAAGATCTCCCATGACGTAAATGAAGAATGATTAGTTTTATACCATTCAAGTGCATCTCCTGTAAAGAATAAGATAATATATCGAGTCGAGTAGAATGTGGAAGATGTGCAATTTCAAAAAGATGTTCGATGTCCTCTAATCATTTGTTAACATCATCTTTTTCTCCGTTGAATGTTTTTGGATTTTTAATAAGATTGCCTACTGTAGCCTTACGGAGATCACTTAGAACTGGGCCTAGTTGAGTTGTTGATGAGTTAAATGAAAACATGGATTGAGTTGCTACTGGAGCTTCACCATTTACATTGGTGGCACCAAGATTAGAATTCATAGGAAGAACATTTGACTGATTACCAGAATAGAATTTAGAACTCGTATTCGAACGACAAACCTTTTCTTCGTGAACTAACTGTGTACTACATGTATCACATTTTGTATTTCGTAATGTATTATCACGGTGACATGAACTTACTGTATCTGAATGATTAGAATTAGATCGAAATGATGATAGCAAGAGCTCATAAAAATCATCGATATTTTTTCGATGTGACAAATACAATTGTTTAGCATCTCCTTTGAATAACAATGAAATAGATTGGTATCGAAGATGTCGCCCAATACGAAAATGATTGAATTTCTCTTCTGTTTCATCTAACCATTGTATAACATCGCTTTTACCATCAAACGGAGCGAAATTCTTTAGAATAAATACGTCCAAATTATCATCATTCATCTCTTTATCATTTCGTATAGATTTGCCTATATCATTTTCTGTAGATATCTGTGGTTGTCGGGAAATGAATTCATTGCGAGTTGATTGATATGTTTTTGTATGTGTCTGTATGTTTTCTATATTTTCAATATTCTTATTTCGATCTGTATAAATTTTATCTGTTTCTGTAAAATTTTCCGAAAAATTCGGTATGTCGTTTGGTTTATATTGTGAAGGTAGCATAGCTTTTCTACCCTCTTTGTACATGAAAGTTTGCATATCGTCTTCTGAAATCCGTATCGACGTGACGATAGTAGTTTCATCGATCGGTTGTGTATCTAATGATTCAATAGATCCTGATTTAGTAATAGTTGATTTTTCCTCCACGTCCGACATAATAGGTGACTATGTATGGATGTAAATGTATGTATGTATGTATGTATGTATATAATTTTCTTTAGCGTTTCAAAAGAAAGAGAACTGGTTACGTATAGAAAGAAGAAAAAAGAAAGTTTGTTTTTTCTATGTAAATACTGATGTACGAATTCGTTATCTATATGTCGTATCGAAGTTAGCTTTTTGTCGAAGTTATATCTTCGATACAGTATTAACTTCGACACGACATATATATATATGTATGTTTACGAACTACGATGAATAAAAAAATGAAAGTTGCCCAACTTCTCCACCAATTGTGAGGTACTCGTAATGGGGATGTACAGTAAAACCTCCGTAATGTGAACACTCACGGGACCGTTGAAAATCGTTCAGATTAGGGAGGTGATCATATAGGAGAGGGTTTTGTAAAAATCGCAAGAAATTTTCATATTTAAAGGCATTTTATAGCATTCACTTGTGATAAACTGTTGTAGTTTATTATACAAAGATTTAATCATTTATCTACATCACAAAAAGTTATTTAATAACAGCTCTATCAGTTGAACATCTGAAGTACTCCAATATAGATCTTTGTTTTGACATGTTGGAGTCGAGTAATGCATCAGTTAATTTAGACTCTAATTGAATAATAAACGAATGTAATTCTGGTTGTTGTGTTATTGAAAATAGGCGAAGTCGTCGAACTAGTTCTAGACATTCAGACAATGTTGGTGATTCTTCACTTGGTAGATCATCATTTAATTGATCCTCTTTATTATCAAAATCATCATTAATAATTCCATGGATCGTTAATAATTTATCAGTTGAATCGTCCGATTCATTAAACGATGGCGTATTATCATCAATACACTCAAACATTGCAAACAATATCAACAAAATAGTATTTTAATGTTTTCTTCAGATCTTACCACATAATCAATAGCAGTTATAGACCTCCCACCAACGGATAAACGTACCAATATTCGATCTAATTCTTCAATTGATTTATCAACTGCTGATGTAACTTCATTGGCAATGGAAATCTGTTGAATATCAATGTCATTGATTGCAAATGGTTTCTCAAATCCAGCTGATTTAAATGTATTTCTTACTGTTGTTTCCGTTATTGCTGCCCACGCACTATCGATCCAATAAACTGCATCTAAAGCAGTGATACTAATATCTTCAGCTGTTGTTACAACACCAGCTCTTGCAATAATATACTTGACCAGATTTCGTCTGTAATGCGCTTTAAAAGCACGAATAATTCCTTGGTCCATCGGCTAAATCGTAGCAGTTGTATTTGCTGGAAAAAATTTTAACTTGATGTTCTCCAATTGTACATCAGGAGGATGGACCGGTGCATTGTCCAAAAATAAAAGAATATGTCGTTTTTTCTTGCGCATCATTAAATCAAGATCCTCCAACCAGTCCGTGAATATCTTCGATGTCATCCATGCACTACGATTGCTATACCACGAAACCGGTAGTTTCTTCATATCAATGTTTTTGAAACACCTTGGTTTGTTCGACTTCCCTGCAATATAAAGAATGTAAGGACTATTAAGAATAGAAAGCAACAAAGATTAACGTACCGATAACTAAAGGCTTCAGTTTTTCGTCACCGGTCCAGTTCGCACATAATAATACGGTGTATCGTTCCTTGGATTTTTTCCTCCCTTGCAATCATTTTTGTCGACCGTTAAAGACTTGTCCGGCATTAGTTTATAGAAAAGACCGGTTTCGTCACAATTAAATACGTTCGAGGGATCATAATGTTCTATGATACTATGTAATCGAGATTTCCAGTCGCCAACTGTGTCTGGATTGACTGCTCGACTTTCACCAGAAATAACCCTAAAGCTGATGTTGTAACGTGATCGAAATTTCTTAAGCCACCCGTTGCTTGCTTTGAATTGTTCTGAATCATTTAATTTTTTACCAATTTCTCTTGCGTACTCTTGTAAGATAGGTCCTGAGATGGCAATATTCTTTGCACGTTGAGCAATAAACCACTCATATACAGTATCATTAATTTCTTGATTTAAATCATTTTTGAATTTTCTTTTCACTTTTTTGTTCTTGTTTGTTTCATAATCATTTGTATATTCACACTTGCGCTTTAATATGTTGGACACAGCCAATTGATATATGGAATTTATCACACAATTCTCTATGAGAAACACCTTGTTCCTTTTCTTTAATTAAATTAATCTTTTCTTCAAGACATAGTTCTCGACGAGTCGTCATACTTCACGATAAACGATTACGAAACAAAACAAACAGGATCACATTCTTATGTTATTCAATTACGTATGAAATTGATCTCGTCTATTTCGTCTATATTTCTCTCGCTCTCTTCAAAACATAATAGCCAAATAGGCCAATCGGATACAAGATTAAATCGACGATAGGTGACGTTATATGTCTTTGTTCATATTGTAGAGGGTCCATTTGCATGGTGGGGACCGAAAAAAAAGCGTTCACATTCAGAATCGTGACGTCTTCATATAGGAGAGGGTCAAAACCAGCAAAATTCGCTCGGAGGCACCAGAAGGTGTTCAGTATAACGGGTTGATCACATAGGAGAGGTGTTCATTAATAGAGGTTTTACTGTATATAGAAAACTCTAACCTTCGATATAAACGTAAGGCTAGATCAAATAAAGTCGAGTAACCTCGCAAGAATATAATAGAAACAATCTACCAGTAGTGGCGTAACCAGAAAATTGGCAGTGGGCAGGCTCAGCGTGACGCGCTCCTATCTTTCTAAATTTGTTGAGTATAAAATTAACATGTGCTAGCGCTCCAGAGGGTGTAAATCTTGATCATGAAGAAATGCTATGCTATTCGTTTATTTTAAACCTAATTAAAATGTATATCACTTGGTAGCTCTACTTCAACAAAAGTTCGACTATTTTTGTGCTTTTCAGCAAAATGATCAATTACGTTTTCAAAACCCGCTATAAAATCACGTATAACGACAAAAACGCACAAATCATTCGGTTTCATATCCGATACACTATTCCGTCTTTTTCTCTAAATTAGCTTCATCTAGTTGAATATTCGTTCACACATCGTAGAAGGGATAGGAATTGTTATTGCAACGAGAAGAAGCACTGTCAGCTCAGGAAAAGTCGGTTTTAAAGGTAATAACTCGGTGTATAAATCAACAATGTTATCCATTGACGTTGGTGAAGTTAGCACCATATTCGAATATAACCTTCCCATGTTCGTTTTGGAACGTGTTCCAACCGATCCAATCAGCGTTCCAAGTAGAACCCGGCGAGCTCTATCTAATGGTGTGGTTAGATTTTCCATAGTCCAAACGATGGTTAAAAAAATTACAAAATACTTCATTTTTTTAATAAAATGCTGGCACCATATTCGAGTAAAAGCTTCCCATATTCGTTCAGGAATGCGTTCCAACCGTTCCAAACAAGGTTCCGAGTAGAACTCAACGAACTCTGTCTAATGGTATGCTCAGTTTTTCCATAACTCGAGTTTTGATTTTTAGGCTTCCAGTAACGGCAGTACTGATCCGAAAAAAAACAAAGTTGGGACTAGGTCGCAACTGAGCATACCATTAGACAGAGTTCGTTGAGTTCTACTCGGAACCTTGTTTGGAACGGTTGGAACGCATTCCTGAACGAATATGGGAAGCTTTTACTCGAATATGGTGCCAGCATTTTATTAAAAAAATGAAGTATTTTGTAATTTTTTTAACCATCGTTTGGACTATGGAAAATCTAACCACACCATTAGATAGAGCTCGCCGGGTTCTACTTGGAACGCTGATTGGATCGGTTGGAACACGTTCCAAAACGAACATGGGAAGGTTATATTCGAATATGGTGCTAACTTCACCAACGTTATCCATTGTTTTATCTTTCAACACAGGCTTCAGAGCATGTATCTTGTTGCACAACGCTGAAAAATCAACATTCGTTTGTGTTCCCAATGGTTGAATCGATTCGATGTGAAGAAAATTATTACTCTCCGGAAACAGCACAGATATACCATTCAGAATAAGAGTATTGTCATCAGAAAAGCGATCATTCAGCTTCAACAATATCGAGTCAAATATAAGATAGAAAAGAATCGTTCTATAATCATCTTCGCTGTTCTGCATATCACTATGCGTGACTGTGGATGTAATGAAAATATCTTTGGAAAAATTTTTGTGAGGCAAATTGCTTTTTCTTTCCGTTCAGGTTATTTTGACAAAACTCCCTTGTCGTATGACATATCATATAGCATATGGTGAAGCAACTCGAATTTCCGGCGGGCAGGCTCAAACCTTCGGTGGACAGGCTGAGCCTGCCCTGGCTACCCCCTGGTTACGCCACTATCTACCAGACACAATAATGAAGTATAGTAGATAAATGGAGATATCGACCACGTTTATTGGGGGTAAACAAGGACAAAAAAAGAAGAAATAACAACGAACTGAGATGGAAACGGAAAAACATTTCTATTTGTATAACGAGACATAGAGAGAGAAATAACAACAAAAGTGAAAGAAAAATAATAATAACACGATGAAGCGAAATGAAAAAAGAAAGAGAAGATATAACAAAGAAGATCATCATGAAGACATGATGATCAAGAGTGAGCTACATGCCACAGGAAAGAAAGAAAACGTGCCATATGATGCGTTATAGCGATTGCCAGGAAATTGACTACATTTTCTAACTAAGAATAATTTCCGGAAATTGATTTCCACTCTGCTTATAACATATCCTCAGAAAGTTCTCAATTTCCGTAATGGAAATCATTTCCATTATTCACATTGGGTACAATTATCAAAGTTCTTACTGTTTTTAAAGGAGGTTCATTTGACTTAGGATGCTTCGAAGGGTGATGTAGGGTTTATCTTAGTGAGGGTGCTTCGAAGGGTGATGTAGGGTTTATCTTAGTGAGGGTGCTTCGAAGGGTGATGTAGGGTTTATCTTAGTGAGGGTGCTTCGAAGGGTGATGTAGGGTTTATCTTAGTGAGGGTGCTTCGAAGGGTGGGATGATTAATATTTCAAATGAATATTTGTAACGGATGTATAGGGCATAATGGAGAATTTCCCAATTTCTTTTAGGGAAATTAGGTCAATTAGGAACTCTTGTTTATGGTTTCCATAATGGACATAATGGGCATAATGGACATAATCAAGAATTTCCCAATTTCCATCATGCAGATTAGGTCTATTAGGGACTCTTGTTTATGGTTTCCATAATGGAAATTGGGAAATTCTCGATTATGTCCAGTATGCCCATTATGGAAACCATAAACAAGAGTCCCTAATGGACCTAATTTCCATGATGCAAATTTCGATTTCCCGGAAAACGCTATAACGCATCAAATCAAACGTGCATGTATAGACTAGAATAGAATGTAGAAGAAGAACGAAAAAGGATAGCATATATACAAGTGTATGTGTATGAGATAGCGTCATAAAGTACCAATCGATGACGCTAACACGTTCCTAGTACGAAGCAAGATAACCTTTACAGTTCAATAGGACACTTACTTTTTAGAGTGCAGTGGTAATAGAATAATCGAAAGACGTTTATTAATAGTTTTTCTGAATTAAGAAAAATATGACAAAACTTGGAAAATTTATTATATATTCTTGAATATTGAGAACAATTTATATGGCTCATTAGATAGTTCATGATTAATGTATAATAGTTCAGAAAAAGTGTCTCTCATTGTCGTTAACACTTGTACATGCCACTTTAATTTTATTCGATAACGACTACTTTATCACCTTTTTTCAAATTTTTTCTATCTGCCGTATTCAGAATAATGCATCCATGACTTGCAGATCTATTGCCATGCTTGTTGTCACCGTGAATCTGGAAGTTAGATCGACCATGCATCTTATTGTTGGCGTCCGGAATCAGATTGCATCTTTCACCTTGTTTAGAACAACTGTTGTCAATTGTGTACGTACCTTTAGGAATAGGTCCTTTATCCACTTTCTTTTCATCAGTTTCGCCCTTGTATCCACTGTAGGATGGTTTGCAGACATCTTTGTCTTTGGTGCAAAACTGCTCTTTCGATTGCGAGTAGGTGTACTCACTTCCTGAGGTTTGGCGATTTCCAGCAGAGGCAAAACTGACACTACTACTAACATCAGATCCACTGCTAGTAACACCGAATAAACCACCACTACTACCACCGCTACTACCACCGAATAAACCACCGCTACTACCACCGAATAAACCACCACTACTACCACCGCTACTACCACCGAATAAACCACCGCTACTACCACCGAATAAACCACCACTACTACCACCGCTACTACCACCGAATAAACCACCACTACCACCACCGCTACTACCACCGAATAAACCACCACTACCACCACCGCTACTACCACCGAATAAACCACCACTACCACCACCGCTACTACCACCGAATAAACCACCACTACCACCACCGCTACTACCACCGAATAAACCACCACTACCACCACTGCTACTACTAGAACAGCCTACACCGAAATCCAAGACCATCTAAACAGTTTCACACTCAGTTATATCACATGAGTAATGTATTCTTTGCTCACCTTAAAATTCCACAAATGAAGCTATGCAACTGTGTGGCTATAAAGAAAATTTTAATATCGTAATGAGAAATAGTATTTTGAACCAGAATGCTTCTGTTTTTATTGCTTTTAAGCAGGCAAATACCAAGATAGAAATATGCGTCATTTTGCGTTGAAAAAGTTCGAAATACGCAATAATCTTTTTGCGCACCTCATATTTTTTTTGTGCATTTATTTTAATGTGCCATTATAGATTCACACTTTTAAAAGGAAGAAGGAAAATAGAAAAAAACGAGAAAATAAAATTCATAAAAAGAGAAGAGAAAAGAAAGAAAAAAGCTAACGAAATAAAAGATGTTAAAATATTATTTAGCGATCTCATATGTCGTAGTACAGATCGAAATCTAGTTCAGTTTTACATCGAACTAGTACAGATCAAAATTTTGATCTCGCCTAGGAATAATTAAAATTTTCATGTGTACTATAGCTGAGTTTCGAACTGAACTAGTTGATTTCAAAATTCTGATAAAAACCAGGATACATTGAAGTTTTGATCTCAACTAGTTCAGATTTAAATATTTTCAACCGTATAAAATTCTTTAGTTATTTTAAATAAATCTTAATAAGTAACTACAGATAACTTCTTTTGATTCCCGTGAAATACCTTGCTCATCAATTTTCATTAAATTAAAATGTTTCTTTGCATTAAACATGAGTTGTGACTGATGTTCTTATGTAAAATGCTTCCTTCATTGTGTCAAAATAAGTTTACGCATGTTTTGTTTAAGTTACTATTTAAACAGTCAAAACAAAGGCCGACATACCTCAAAGTTAATCCTCTAGTTTAACCTTGCATAGGCATTTTATTTCAAAAACTCTTAATCTATTCCGGTCCGGATCGAAATATTTAAATCTGAACTAGTTGAGATCAAAACTTCAATGTATCCTGGTTTTTATCAGAATTTTGAAATCAACTAGTTCAGTTCGAAACTCAGCTATAGTACACATGAAAATTTTAATTATTCCTAGGCGAGATCAAAATTTTGATCTGTACTAGTTCGATGTAAAACTGAACTAGATTTCGATCTGTACTACGATATATATATATATTGATTCTAGTAGGAGAGGAATGAGAGAAGATAAGACGGAGATAATACATGAATGGAAGCATATGTGGTTTATTCGGGTATGAAGATATATTTTTCCTACGTAGGATATCTTTCGGCCCGATTCGAGTTTTTCCAGGACTTATTCGTCCTCGTATGCATTCCAACCATTCCAACAATGATTCCAGATAGAACTCGACGAGCTCTATCGATTGGTAAAAAGATTTTCCCAAAAAGTCGCTTCCGTACCCCCCAAAATCCCAAAAAACTGCAAAAAAACACCCCAAAATTGCATAATTTCCAGAAATACCTGGGCCGATTCGCCTGACTGATATCTGATATCATTCCAAGCGTGATTCCAGATCAAACTCGATGAGCTCTATCGATTCCAATCGTGAGATTTCCCATAACTCACTTTCTTTGTCCCGAAAAACGGGAAAAACCGCCCAAAATCATCAAAAATCAAAGAAAACCCCGGGCCGATTCGCCTGAGTGATATCTGATACCCTTCCAAGCATGATTCCATGTCAAACTCGATGAGCTCTATCGATTCCAATCATGAGATTTCCCATAACTCACTTTCTTTGTCCCGAAAACCCCCAAAAAACACCCGAAATCATGAAAAACCATCGGAAAACCATGGCCGATTCGCTCCATGAGGCAGTCCAACTGTAACAATAATGATTCCAGATAGAACTCGCTGAGTTCTGTCGATTCCACACCTTCGTTTTCCACTTTGACCAACTTATCTCGGAGAAAAACACTAATTATTAACAAATCTGTCAAATATGCATTGACAAAAACATTTCATTCGCTGATCGGTTTCAACCAATGGGATATTTTCATCAGTAAAATGTCGTCATTTGAAGTGAAATTCTTGATGACACTATTTAGGTTAAAAAAATTCGAATTCTATGGAAAATTGAAAAACCATTCAATCACCTATAATATTTTCACTAATACGAAAAAATCCAATCAATTTTGCTTTATAGATGGCGCTGGTTGCGAACTTGATTACATTACCGTTTCTGAAATCAATGAAATATACGGATAGTCATCATGAATTGACTGCTGACGGGGTAATCAAGGTCGAGGAACTCGAATCTGAGGTTGATTTTAATTAATTAATAATTAATTATTAACTCGGCATAGATTATTAATATGTGCGGTTACGGTTGACCAGAGGGTGATCGAGGTTAGGGAACTCGAATCTGAGGTTAGTTTTATTCACGACACTTCGACAGCTGAAGTTCGAGTTCTTGGCCCTTTTTCCCAAAAGAGATATTTTTGTATTTCTGTTAGTCTCGTGAAGAAAATAGTTGGTTGAGCCCTATTTCTGGACATGGTGTGCAGGAAGATGTTAGATTACTCGCTTAGACAAGAATATCTGGTGTGTCTGACATTATGACAGTTGTAATTCCAGGGATCAGTAGAAGTAGTATGCGTGTAATATCGTTGTTACGTTGTACGCTGCGACATGCCAAGTTTTTCGATGATATTTTAGCAGATGTATGTCGCCCAAAGGTATCGCTGCCACTGATGGCCCGTCAGTGCAGTTCGGCCTCATTAGCTACAGATATATCGAGTGTACAAATGGGATTCGAAACATGAACCACTATGATTGGTTCTCTTTTCAGGGTAAATCATAAACGAAAACTTACCCAGCTTCTTTTGATAGTCAAATGAATGGAAGAATTTTTCCTTTCTTTTGACGATTACAAAGGATCTGGTGATATCCTTCCAGTAAAGGGTTAGCGGCTACTGTGTCGCGTTACTTGTATAGTAGTCTATGGTCTTTTAGCAAACAATTGATTCTTTTCTGTACTTTGAAGAAAACAACACCGTGTCGAATATTTCCAACATTGTCAAAGCCCGTTTAAAGGGCTTCCAACTTTGATAAGGATGTTCGAAATAGTGTTCTGCGGGAACAACTTCTTAGGTTTCGCATTCTCTATTCCCATTCCCATATTTCCACTGCCAAAGCTTTCAATGGCTTAGTATAAGAGAGTAATGTTGTTTTAATTGAATTGTGATACACGATTTGTTCGTAAGTAAACCACTCACATTGCGTTATGAAATCCTTTGACAGGTCTATGTTTGTAACCTTAGCAACAATTACAGATGGTTTCCTGACTCGAAAGTGTAGACGTAACATCGATATCTACTAATACATTCGTTCGGATGGTCGTTCAAACGCATGTCAACATAAGACACGAGACATAAATACATTTTAAAGTAAATTTTGCTTTGAAATAGTTAGTTTTTCCTGACACAGTCGTCACTTTTTAAATCTCAGAAAAATGAGATAGATCAATAAAAGGTACCCAAAAACTAAATGGAGAAATTTAATGACGGTAGTTACCCGTTACCTAGACAAGCCGTATAGTTAAAACTTAATTAACAACCTACTCTTGCTTATGCATATTCCTTATTTTTCTGTTAATTGTGCACTTGAAAGAAAAATTAACAAAAATTAGCAATTCTATGACAGAGATTTGTAAAAATATTGAAGCAAGTTTATCAAAATTTAGAGAACCTCAATTTCTAGTTCTCGTCCCTTTGCCATTTTCATGGGAATGGAAAATGGGAAAATCAGGCGGAAAAGTCGCTCCCGCAGGACACTAGTTTCAAACGTATACTTTAAGATTAATTTGGAATTTTAATGTTTAGTCGTTCGTCGCTCTCCCACCACTCGGCTACTCGCGGCTAGCCATTTTTGGCGATAACCCTACCCTGGTGCTTACTTCCTCCTCATTCTTGCAACAGATAGATGACTTTCGATTCATCATCTTTTCCACCAAAGTGTTACCCGTTATTAACAACACCATTTCATAAAATAAGCTACAAAGAAATGGTACTGCTTTACGACTCACTATTTATAGTTTTCCAGTGTCTCTCAGTAAATTTCCATCGGTTCACGAAATCTATTTTACTGATCCATTGACAGAACTAAATTTTCACGGTTTATAACGAGGCGAGAATTATTTCTTCGACACAAGGAGACAAACGCTGACCATCTGATCTGATTTTGTCTATATACCAAGCTGCACACTAGAAAAGAGAGGATATCACTTAATATTCTCGACTATTGTTCGCCTTTAGCTTTCATTATAGTAATCAATTACTCAAGAGAGAACAAGAAACTCCTGAACCCAAATAACTGCTATCCGAAGTTGAATTCACGAAGTATTCACTGATTATGACTTTTTTTCGCGCGAAATCTAATTGATTCAAATTAGGCATGCACCAATCCCAATTCTAAGCAATCCGATTCCAATTCTAGAATCGAGTCCGAATAGAATTGGCTGGAACTGGAGTCAGAATTGGCCCGGAATCGACTAAAATCGATTTAAGCCCGACTCAAATATATGAATAAGTTCAATTCAACCAGCAATAATTTCAACAACTCTTCGCTAACAACAAGCATTTAGAATTGCTTTCCTATTCGATCTCACGAAGTCTGCCAAAGTTGTTAACTATATCATAACAGTTTCAAACCAATTCGAGCCATTTTTAACCAAATCTGACCCCAATCGATTGCGATTCCAATTCTGATCGATTATAGAATCGAATTTGGAACCCCATCGAATCGGAATTGCTGCGTACCTAATTCAAACAACGATGTTAAGAAGCACTTACTCCTCGCAATTTAAACCTAAAATAACTTTGCTCGGATAAGCTATACAATGATAAAATCTGATTACCATAGAAAAAAGACGCGAACTTCGACGATTTTTATTCCGCCTATGATTTCTTCTAACAAAGAAAAAAATTACGTANAAGATTAATTTGGAATTTTAATGTTTAGTCGTTCGTCGCTCTCCCACCACTCGGCTACTCGCGGCTAGCCATTTTTGGCGATAACCCTACCCTGGTGCTTACTTCCTCCTCATTCTTGCAACAGATAGATGACTTTCGATTCATCATCTTTTCCACCAAAGTGTTACCTGTTATTAACAACACCATTTCATAAAATAAGCTACAAAGAAATGGTACTGCTTTACGACTCACTATTTATAGTTTTCCAGTGTCTCTCAGTAAATTTCCATCGGCTCACGAAATCCATTTTATTGATCCATTGACAGAACTAAATTTTCACGGTTTATAACGAGGCGAGAATTATTTCTTCGACACAAGGAGACAAACGCTGACCATCTGATCTGATTTTGTCTATATACCAAGCTGCAGACTAGAAAAGAGAGGATATCACTTAATATTCTCGACTATTGTTCCCCTTTAGCTTTCATTATAGTAATCAATTACTCAAGAGAGAACAAGAAACTCCTGAACCCAAATAACTGCTATCCGAAGTTGAATTCACGAATCATTCACTGATTAGGACTTTTTTCGCGCGAAATCTAATTGATTCAAATTAGGCATGCACCAATCCCAATTCTAAGCAATCCGATTCCAATTCTAGAATCGAGTTCGAATAGAATTGGCTGGAACTGGAGTCAGAATTGGCCCGGAATCGACTAAAATCGATTTGAGCCCGACTCAAATATATGAATAAGTTCAATTCAACCAGCAATAGTTTCAACAACTCTTCGTTCGCAACATGCAAATCTTCGCTAACAACAAGCATTTAGAATTACTTTCCTATTCGATCTCACGAAGTCTGCCAAAGTTGTTAACTATATCATAACAGTTTCAAACCAATTCGAGCCATTTTTAACCAAATCTGACCCCAATCGATTGCGATTCCTATTCTGATCGATTATAGAATCGAATTTGGAACCCCATCGAATTGGAATTGCTGCGTGCCTAATTCAAACAACGATGTTAAGAAGCACTTACTCCTCGCAATTTAAACCTAAAATAACTTTGCTCGGATAAGCTATACAATGATAAAATCTGATTACCATAGAAAAAAGACGCGAACTTCGACGATTTTTATTCCGCCTATGATTTCTTCTAACAAAGAAAAAAATTACGTACTCCGGTTATCACAGCATTTTNNNGAAGCGACTTTTTGGGAAAATCTTTTTACCAATCGATAGAGCTCGTCGAGTTCTATCTGGAATCATTGTTGGAATGGTTGGAATGCATACGAGGACGAATAAGTCCTGGAAAAACTCGAATCGGGCCGAAAGATATCCTACGTATTTTTCCTTCTGAATTGTTGTTTGCGACTCAACTATGCTTTTACAAATATGTTTTATTTATCTTATTTTATTTCTTAGAAAATAGAAAGAAAGATACTTTATTTGATAGCTGTTTTGACCTCGTGAAAATTGAAGAAAATATTTCGATATGAACATATTTATATAGCAAGTGTCCGATTTGAAAAATTCGAGTTGATTTTTTGCGTTCTTTTAAACTCCTTCCAATCCTTGCACCACATCACATGTTTTTACAAAGTAACATTTACTTTTTCTTTCTTATTTACATTTTTCTCAGATGTAACTTTGTTAAAAGAAATATATGCATAATGTTAGAAAAATTATTTATCATCCAACAATATAAAGTTCGAAGTGCACAATCAGATTTTTTTACAAAAGAAGCCAGTATTTTACAATTTTGAGAGTGTGGATGGGATGGGGGTATTGGTGTGAGGGTGGTTATGGGTGAGGATGTGGGTGTACGAATATTACTCTCAACTTCACCCACATACTACAAAATATTAATCCTTTCAGGACCGGGTTATTTCGTGAAAAAATTACAAAGTTTAAACGTTTTAAAAATGATTGATTGGTGTCAGATTCATAAAAAATGTGAAGATAAAGCGACTTTCAAAGTCTAGTATTCTTTGGAACAGTTCAGATACTAGAGTGGAATATCACAATCTCGGCAATAAAATCTTATAGCACTTCGGTTTTCGCGCTTCGTTTTATGGTTGCAGACAAAATAACGTTTTTTTAAACATTATTATCTCCGAGAATAAAAAAGGAATGAACTGACGATAACAGTTAGGCGTATTGAACAATCGATTGATGGTGTTTGTTCCGTTTGTGGTTACAGTCATCCATATTCTTGAACGAGTTCTCAAACAATCTGAAGACGAAAGTCTGAAAGTTCGAGATTTTTAGGATTTTCGTATTTTACATAGAATAAGAACTCTGCACAGTGATATTAAAGGTTCAGATGAAATTAAGAAGAAAGAAAATATCGATTATAACACGAACGTTCAAAACTACATCCACAATAGTTACTTCGAAGAGATACGAGAAAAAAGCTCAAATTTGTACGCATAGGAAAATATGAAATCCCAACTACACTTTAAAATGTCACCGGTCCTGAAAGAGTTAACGATTCTTAGTGAGAAAATAATTCACTGTACAGCGCTAACTCTGAAAAGCGTCCGTGTATCCCTTTCGAGTCGATGGTGCCCACCGTATTTTAACAAAAATTTTAATAGAAAAACACTTTCTTTTCTTTTATTTTTAAGCGGGGGCAGGGAGGGGAGTCACACGTAATATGTCATCTGCTCTGCCTTCCTTATTATTTGAATTATTTATTGCATACTGTGATGCTTCTCGTTAAAACAATCAGAACAGAACGTTTTTATTTTCTTGATTGTTGTTCCCTGTTTTTCTCGTAACAACCAGCACAGCGTCTTCGGACATTGCGTGTACATCCTTCCATTTCTTCGAACTCATGATCAGCTAGCTTGCGCTTCAATGAACTTGTTGATTGTTGTCTTGAACCAGGTTTTAGATTCTCGGATGGTACACCAAGCAATAAAGATCGCTCAAAGCTCTCACGGAACTGTAGGTTGCTTGTGTTGCCAGTTGTATAGTTTTCTTTGTATATCCCTTTCGAGTCGATTCAATTTTTTTAGAAAATACCTTTAATAAATTCATTTTTACGTGTATTTATCGAAAGATAAATGCACTTGTTGATCTTTTTGGTATGAGCTACCATCCTCTTTTCTTTTTCTTATCCGTATCAGTATATAGATGGTCCTTTTTCATGTGCAGCTGAATAATTATTCATGTTTTTCTTTCTCTTTCTTGTACGTATTACTGATTAGGAATAAGATAACGAAACGAATTTTCGATTTTTTTTCTTTTGCATTCTTTTCGAAGCATTATCTTTGGTTCTTTCCTTTCATTTGCATCAAAACTAGTGGCGTAACTAGACATTGGCGGGTGGGTAGGCGGCGCCCCATTGACTTTCACATTACCATATAATATAAATATGGTAATGTACCATGTATCTTTGCCACATTACGAAAATATTGTAACTTATGTACCTTTAAAAGTACGCTTTATAAGTTACTATTGTTTTTTTATTAAGTGAAAAAAATATCCAAAAATTACAAGAGTTTTACTTTAACAAAATTCTACTATTCTTGTGCAAATCAGCAAAATCATCTATAAGTTTCTCGAAATCAACAACGAAGTCGCGTTCGACTGCTAAAACACATAGATCACTCAGTCGATTATCTGACATTGTGTTGCGTGTAATTGTTTTTATCAATTTCATCTTACTAAACGTTCTCTCACACGTAGTGGATGAAACTGGAATTGTCATAGCAGCAATGATAAGAGATATTATTATAGGAAATGCCTGTTTCAATGGTAATAGATAAGAATAAAAATCAATAATATTTTCTAATTTTGTATTTGTATCTTTTATCATCGGTTTAATTACTTGCATTTCATTGGATAATGAAGAAAAATCAGCTTTCATTTGTACTGCAAATGCTTTTAATATGTTAATTTGCAGAAATGTATCGCTATCTGGACAAAGTGCTGACATACCAGCTAAAACTGCTAAATTATGTACAGAAAAACGATCATTTAATTCTATTAATACAGCATCGATGGTTAGGTGAAAAAGATTTTCTCGATAATCATCTTCATTATTCAAATAATCACGTTGACCAATAGTACTATTAATAATAACATCTTTGAATCTCGATGAAACTTTTTTATTTCTAATTGGTCTTGGTGTTGACGAAAGATCAATGTGATGTTCTGTACAAAAAGTTGTGATCTGTTGATATATAAAAGAAAATGCATGTTCATCACGAAGATCAGCTATTTGATTGATAACCGATTTGATTAAACACTGAGCTTTATGAAAATCCATTGTTTTAGCTATGAAAAAATTGAAAAACAAGGAATCATTTTTTATATCAATCAGATGGTATTGTTTTATATTATAGTTTTACCTTTTAGCTGATCAGAAAGAATTCTAATAATACCAAATATTTTATGAACAATAAAAAGTGTAACAATAAATTTTGGTACTTTAAGTGCTAATAATAAACCACGCGCATCAACTGATCTTTCATCATTTTCATTTTCTAATTCTTCCAAAGAAAGTAAAAGACTTTTATAATTTCCGATCAACGCATTAACAGAAGACCATCTACTATCCCAGCGTATGTTAGACCATTTCTTCAATGATGTTGGAATATTATTATTTTCTATTAATGATAAAGCACTTCACAGATACATGTTAAAAATGATTTATTTACCTGTTAATAGTTGTTGTTGAATGTTTTTAAAGCATTCATTCGTGACACTTGATGCGTTAAAGTATGTGTAAATCTTTGATACGATCGAATAGAATTCTGACAAGTAAGGAACAACTTTCGATACATCACAAATTACAAGATTCAGTTTGTGAACGAAACAATGTATATAAATTGCTCTAGTCATATAGTTCTCACGTAAAATCGTTTGCACACCTGCATGCCTTCCACTCATTACAGCTGCACTAAAGATAGGATTAAAAACAATAATGAGTATGATGTCGAAGACAGATACTGCTTTACCCGTCAAAGCACATTGCAATACAGTTTTTTATATCAATTTTAAAAAAAGATAGAGGCGATGTGCCTAATTCGAACAGGAGGGTGAACACCTTCTGTTATTTTGAATATTTTTCAGTCATTTCTCAACATAAAAAAATTATTTTTACATTTCTGACTAGAGACGCATCTTGCGCATCGAATGATGTAAGAATCAGCTAATTATCTTATTAATTAACTCAGTAATTAGCGGTATAAATTGGAGAAGTCGATTTGTTCGTATTAGGGATCATGTTCGCAATACGAACAGTCTAGCTAAAAAGTGTTCCTAATACGAACACTTCATGTAAAACATATGGAAAATGAAAAAATTCCAGTAAACGACACTTTTCCATATCAAAACTAAAAAATTTCGATATGGTTGTTTTTCCAAAAATGTTCTCCATCATTTGATGCCTTAGGATCCAAAGGTTCACAATTTCATCGTTTAACATGGTTGAGTTATCTCAATTCTAAAAATAAATCTCTTGTTCTTATTAGGAACGCTGTTCTTTATTCGAACAATCAGCAAGAAAATGTTCCTAATAAGAACACTGCCTGTAAATTACATGGAAAATGAAAAATTCATCGTAAACAAATGTTTCACATGCCTGGACAGCAAAATCTGACTTTTCTCGTCTATTAAAAAATATTCCTTGACTCAAATCACATCGAAATCCAGCGGTAGACGATGAACGGAACTACCATTTCAATTCTGTTGTTGAAATGAACATTTCAGTTTTTGACTCAGCTTTTTCATTATTTTTCATCACAGTTTTTCAACGAAACTTTCAGTAAAGCACTATGAAACTTCATATACGTGTTGTTTCTGACATGTCTGTCAAAAATATAACAAAAATATTGGAATATGTATTTTGCTCCTGACTCCGCTGGAACTCGTCACTGGGTATGAATATATCGTCGATTCGAGACCGTCAACGGACACTCCTGTGCAGGACCAATCAATTGATATACAATTCATTATATACATGCACGTCATTCGTGTAGAGTAAACAATCTGAACGTCAACACTCTTCAACAATGTATGTATAGCGTTTTATATTCAAAAGAAAACTTAATTTTAGAATCAAAGGAAATATTTTAGTCAATATCTCAACATTATCTATCACTGCTGAACAAGCATTCTGCATTCATGGGGAAAATAATCTTTTATCATGATTGTCGTCTTTCAAGATATTTCTCAAAATAAACCTTCTATGTGTTAATATTGAAATTTGTATTTTTGGAGAGAATAAGTACATCAATGTTATCAATTGTGTATTACGTATTAGTTCCCACATAGAACTACTCATTGCAGATTTTGAATCGACGGTATATTGATACCCAGTGACGAGTTCCAGCGGAGTCATGAGCAAAATACATATTCCAATATTTTTGTAATATTTGTGACAGACATGTCAGAAACGACACGTATATGAAGTTTTATAGTGCTTCAATGAAATTTTCGTTGAAAAACTGTGTTGAAAAATAATGAAAAAGCTGAGTCAAAAACTGAAATGTTCATTTCAACAACAGAATTGAAATGGTAGTTCCGTTCATCGTCTACCGCTGGATTTAGATGTGATTTGAGTCAAGGAATATTTTTTTATACACGAGAAAAGTCAGATTTTGCTGTCCAGGCATGTGAAACATTCGTTTACGATGAATTTTTCATTTTCCATGTAATTTACAGGCAGTGTTCTTATTAGGAACATTTTCTTGCTGGTTGTTCGAATAAAGAACAGCGTTCCTAATAAGAACAAGAGATTTATTTTTAGAATTGAGATAACTCAATCATGTTAAACGATAAAATTGTGAACCTTTGGATCTTAAGGCATCAAATGATGGAGAACATTTTTGGAAAAACAACCATATCGAAATTTTTTAGTTTTGATATGGAAAAGTGTCGTTTACTGGAATTTTTTCATTTTCCATACGTTTTACATGAAGTGTTCGTATTAGGAACACTTTTTAGCTAGACTGTTCGTATTGCGAACATGATCCCTAATACGAACAAATCGACTTCTCCAATTTATACCGCTAATTACTGAGTTAATTAATAAGATAATTAGCTGATTCTTACATCATTCGATGCGCAAGATGCGTCTCTAGTCAGAAATGTAAAAATAATTTTTTTATGTTGAGAAATGACTGAAAAATATTCAAAATAACAGAAGGTGTTCACCCTCCTGTTCGAATTAGGCACATCGCCTCTAAGTATTTGATTATTTCCATACTCAGACTTTCGGCATCAAATTCATTCAATTTCACTAACCCCAAAAGATATTCGTTAAAAATGGAATTTTTATCGATTGTATTGCTATTCTTCAATGGTTCATTAGATATACATCTCAAAACAATACTCAATTGTTCATATTCGGTACAATCTCTTGTTTCATCTGCCATAAACGCGAAGACATGTCCATCAACCTTTAGAAAATAAAGAAAATGGTGACAGTCTTATAAGTATGAGTGATATTAAAATAAATTACTTTTTCTACGATCTTTTTTCGTATTTGATTTGCCATTAAATTTATCAGTTCATTTTGAATCAAAGGAGATAAATATGAAGCATTATTAGCACTATCAACAAGTATTGCTTTAACTAATGGATCAGTAGTAGAAGACCATTTTAAAATTTCGATAAAATTTCCACGATTATTAGATCTAGTCAGAAAAGAGTATTGAGTAGTTAAGATTAGTTGTGATTAACTTACAATTCATTTTCATCATGACCACGTAATGCAATGGATTGTCGTGAACATAAAAGTACTGTAGATGCAATTTTTGTAAGACGTTGACGGTTTTTTTTAATTATTTCGACACGTCCTTTATCAATAACATTAATAACAGTTGCTTGAGTATTTGTGCGTAGAATAAATTGTTCATAATTGCTACATGCATATCTATGTGATGCGCTAGTATCATGCTTGTAAAAACCATGGCTTTTTGACATAGCATTTTTTCAATTATTATAACCAGCAATAAATGCATCACTTTGTTGCTAAAATTACAAACGAAACAATGCATATTTTTGTTCAGAAACATTAATAAGCAAGTGATCATCAGCGAAAACAAACTTCGTTACAGATAAAATATTTTACAAAATGAAAATATTTACGTACCCTATTTAATAAATTAAATCCACTACCAAAATGTCGACAGTAATAACAATAAACTAAGTTTTCTTTGACTGAGTATTCCAGCCACGGAAATGTTGAATACCAAATTGAACGAAATGATCGATTTTGTTTATCAGTTGGATAGGAAGATAGTTTTGGTTGAGTTGGTAGTTCTGCTGAAGAACGACTAATATCAGATGGAATTGAAGACTTTTCCATAATCATTGCAGGTGTTGTTGGTGATAAAGCTAATGGTGATAAAGATGCTGATAGTGTTTGTTGTTTTGGTGAAGGTATAAATGATGAACATTCTGAGGGTGAAATTGAAAACGAACATTCTGTTGTTGAAGATATTGATGATGAGCATTCTGTGGAAGATAATAATAACGCATATGATGTTGGAGAAGGTACCAATGATGAAGAAGGTATTTGTGAAGATGATGGTGGTAAAATTTCACATGATACAAGTAGTGGTAGTGGTGAAGGTATTGATAATGAAGAAGGGTATTTGTAAAGATGATAGTAAAGATGATTCTGAAGTTTGATTTGATGCACAACTAGACGTTTCATCTGGTTGATTTGTTTGCGAGGATTCATCGATCATATGAGCAGAAATGTCAACCTTCTTTTTTTTGAAAGATGAACGAAAAAACGATTGAATAGAACCACGTTTTGGTTCTTTACCATCTGACGACATTAAAAGAAATGTTATTTTATTTTTATCAGAATCAATGGATTATTTGCAGGCATCTGGTTTAGAAGATCATAAGGAAACATATAATTGGTGAAATCAAATTGATCAATTAGTACTTTCCTTAAGATGTCTCTCTATTTCAAGAAATAATTTAGTTTTTAAAATGTGCCTCACCGATGTATGACTTAAAGACTATCTAAAAAAAAGTCAATTTTCAAAAATTTCCGGTGGGTAGGCGGCGCCTATCCATGCCCTACCCTGGTTACGCCACTAATCAAAACAATTGAAGTTTTGATCTGATTTACATATCGTCTGAAGAAACCGACACTGAAGACAGCAGGAATTTACAAAGTGATGTCGGTTCTTTGGATGATGATTTTGCTAGGATGCTATTTGAATCATCAAGTTCCGAGGAAGAAATTTCTGATGATGACCGTGATTCACAAGTTTGGAATGAAATAGAATCAGAATCGGATGCTGAATTTCAGGAGGACCATGGAATTGTTGAAGAAGTACCGACAAAAGAAATGTGTAAATAACAGCGACTTGGAATAACATAACGAAATTATGTTTATCGAAATAAAATAAAAGAAGAATCGACGTTTCGATGATCTAAGACATCATTATCAGGATAGAAGAGAAACTACTAGAAAAATGACTTGAAACAACGGAAAACAAAACGATTAAAATGAACAATAACGGAGAGAAGAAACGAATTTAACCGTTTGGGTCAGGTAACATATCTCTTCGTAAGCCATCTGGAAACACAATAAGTGTTACTGAGTGTGTTGTTCGATTCAGTTCTGGCTTGAATGCTTGAATCAGTAAAGATTCTTTGGTTAGCAGTCGATAAGGGTTGTCATCTCTCCATACGACACGGAAACCAGTCCAATCAATATGATGTCCTGTGTCTTTAGCATGTTGTGCGAGAGAAGATATAGTTTCTTTTTCTTTTTCTCTCTTTTTGTCATTGGTCGTGTTGGAGGTATTCGTTGGAGTAATGTGGTTCTTGTTCCGAATACGTGATGACCTTCTTAAGCTTGTAGATGTTGGATTAGGTGTTGCTGTATCATCCTCATCACTGGATGCCTGTTCATTTGGACGCGAATCAAAGGATTGTTTTGGTGCTCCATGTTCACGTAGACGACGTATACTTTGTCTTTCAGTTTTACCGATATATGTTTGATTGCAATCGATACAACTGATTGAGTAGATGACGTCTGACTGCATGTGTTTAGCGATTGGATCTTTGGTTTGGAAGAATATTTGAACAGCTGGTGGAGGTTTTGTGTAGAAGCGAATGTCGAGATCAGGACGAACTTTACCAGACAGTTGACTGAATCTCTTCTTCAACAAGTCCGTTGGTCGACCGATGAATGGTATTTCTACATACATTCGTTTCTTCTCACACCCAATCAAGGGTACTATTGTTGTGTTGGAATCATTCTTCGCTAATTGCTGATTTAGTCCAATGCCAATTCGGGTATCAATGAAAGATATTGGATAACCATTGGCTACACCTATCCGTTGTATTTCTTGAAATTCCGCCGCTAATGTTGTGTAGGTGGAGCAGATGGCCAGAGCTCGTTGAACCATACTTACAATGCTGGATTTCTTATACTGTAGTGGTACGAATGAGTGCCAATTGGTCATTAAACCAGTGAAGGTTGGTTTCCTGTAGATGGTCGTCTCGAATTGCTGAGAGTTTTGTGGTCGAATAACTCTCACATCGAGGAAAGGAAGTGAATGATCTTTTTCAAGTTCATATGTNTCAAAAGAAATGTGTAAATAACAGCGACTTGAAATAACATAACGAAATTATGTTTATTGAAATAAAATAAAAGAAGAATCGACGTTTCGATGATCTAAGTCATCATTATCAAGATAGAAGAGAAACTACTAGAAAAATGACTTGAAATAACGGTAAAAAACAAAAACAAAACGATTAAAATGAACAATAACGGAGAGAAGAAACGAATTTAACCGTTTGGGTCAGGTAACATATCTCTTGGTAAGCCATCTGGAAACACAATAAGTGGTACTGAGTGTGTTGTTCGGTTCAGTTCTGGCTTGAATGCTTGAATCAGTAAAGATTCTTTGATTAGCAGCCGATAAGGGTTGTCATCTCTCCATGCGACACGAAAACCAGTCCAATCAATATGATGTCCTGTGTCTTTGGTATGTTGTGCGAGAGAAGATACAATTTCTGTTTCTTTTTCTCTCTTTTTGTCATTGGTCGTGTTGGAGGTATTCGTTGGAGTAATATGGTTCTTGTTCCGAATACGTGATGACCGTCTTAAGCTTGTAGATGTTGAATCAGGTGTTGCTGTATCATCCTCATCACTCGATGCCTGTTCAGTTGGACGCGAATCAAAGGATTGTTTTGGTGCTCCATGTTCACGTAGGCGGCGTATACTTTGTCTTTCAGTTTTGCCGATATATGTTTGATTGCAATCGATACAACTGATTGAGTAGACGACGTCTGATTGCATGTGTTTGACGATTGGATCTTTGGTTTGGAAGAATGTTTGAACCGCTGGTGGAGGTTTTGTGTAGAAGCGAATGTCGAGATCAGGACGAACTTTACTAGACAGTTGACTGAATCTCTTCTTCAACAAGTCCGTTGGTCGACCGATGAAAGGTATTTCTACATACATTCGTTTCTTCTCACACCCAATCAAAGGTAATATTGTTGTGTTGGAGTCATTCTTCGCTAACTGTCGATTTAGTCCAATGCCAATTCGGGTATCAATGAAAGATATTGGATAACCATTGGCTACACCTATCCGTCGTATTTCTTGAAATTCCGCTGCTAATGTTGTGTAGGTGGAGCAGATGGCCAGAGCTCGTTGAACCATACTTACAATGCTGGATTTCTTATACTGTAGTGGTACGAATGAGTGCCAATTGGTCATTAAACCAGTGAAGGTTGGTTTCCTGTAGATGGTCGTCTCGAATTGCTGAGAGTTTTGTGGTCGAATAACTCTCACATCGAGGAAAGGAAGTGAATGATCTTTTTCAAGTTCATATGTGAACTTGATTGAAGCATGGAAATTATTCAAAATGGTCAATACGTCGGCAACGTTTGTTGTTGGTTCAAGGAGAACAAACGTATCATCAACATATCGATGCCATTCGCATACTCCACTTTGTTTCAACTGGTCCATTAATGTCGTTTCAAGATGAGCCATGAATATGTCAGCAATCACTGGTGCCAATGGAGCACCCATTGCTACTCCATTGTGTTGTACATACATTTTCTTGTCGAACAAGAAATTTGTTTCTAATGTGGCTGTTCGTAGGAGTATTTCGAAGTCTCTTCTTTTCTTACACGCTCTACAGTGCTTCGTTCTAGGCCTCATCTATCGAGATGGACATAGTAAAAGATTTCATAGAAGAAGAGAAAAAAATAGCAAAACCCACCCCTTTCCCGCGGCAACCGCTTGCGCATCCGGGTTCTTTACCCATCTTTTATATTGTACGAGCTGTGTTCAACGATAAAAAGGTTTATCCGTACAGCTCAGTACCCACATTCAGTTTTGTGGTCCTAACCACAGCAATATAACTTCTATTCCAAGAGTATTACGCGGACCGGTAGGTTGGATGGGATCGAACCCGGACCTTTATGGCGAAGAATAAATAGTAGTACCAGAGCGGGATTCGAACCCGCCACTATCGATGTTACACATCGTTAGTTCACTGAACTGTCTGGTACAGCTTCACGATTATATCACTACAATTGACGTGTTAGTGAAAATAACGCGTATCTCAGGAAACGGACTAGTCTATACTATTTTTCGTTAAATAGAGGCAACCTTACATTGGTCAGTTAAGAGAGCACTTGCAATTGGTCCAAGAGCTAGTTCCTTAATAATCCACTCATGTGTTTACTTTCTCTAATTGTTCATGACTACCCATTGTCTCATCCATTGCTATATATACTGTCGATTCTATAACGCTTTCTCATATTATCTTGATAATGATGTCTTAGATCATCGAAACGTCGATTCTTCTTTTATTTTATTTCGATAAACATAATTTCGTTATGTTATTCCAAGTCGCTGTTATTTACACATTTCTTTTGAAATTATTGCCTTTATCAACTTCTAATGTTTAAGTACCGACAACTTCAGACGATGATCCAATCAATCCTATTGATTGCTACCGACATTTCGTCACCGACGAAATCCTTAGCCTCATGGTGCACGAAACTAATCGATATGCAGAACAACATTTACAAACCAAGGAGCTTAGCAAACGATCACAAACTCTTCAATGGAAACCAACTACTAATGAAGGGTGAGGGTGTGGGTGTGAGTGTGGGTGTGGGTGTGGGCGAGGGTGTGGGTGAGGGTGTGGGTGAGGGTGTGGGTGAGGGTGTGGGTGAGGGTGTGGGTGAGGGTGTGGGTGAGGGTGAGGGTGATTCAGAACAAAACCAGGGCGCGTTTCAGCTGTTGCTAAAGCAGTCCCATCAGTTGGCTCTAGACTGTAATCGCCCAGATGATTAAAAAATCATAGGTAGATTACTTAATTTGTCAAATTCAAAGACATCGAAATGTTTTCGAAGCAGATATCGTTAACACAGGGGTGAGTCGAGGGGTGTGAGTAGAGCTATCATGAATAGTTTCATCTTCTGCTCGCGGAAGATTCATTAGATGGCTTATGATTTCACTAGATTTCATTCAAAATAGACATTTTCAAAAGAGAAAAGACGTAGAATACGTTCGGGCAGGATTCTACATTTTCTTGAGCGGATTCGTTTCATCGTAGGTTCCAATCAAACCAGCACTGACTCCAACTACAACTTAATGAGCTCTACCTGTTCCAATCATTAAAAATTTTCACCCCACCCACACCTTCACCCACCCTGTCCAGTTTATTCCAAATATAGCAGATCAATTCATTTCAAAGGTTTGTCAGGCTAATATTCGTCTGTTTCATGGTCGATTCAAACAAATAAGTGTTAATGAATTCAAGAGTGAACTGCTTTTATATAACAATAAAACAAAGCAAGGTTAGATATGCTAATCATCTACAATTTTTGTTTGGCAAAGGAGACATCTAGCAATCCTAGAAAGTCAAACACTATACTTGCCCATACGTTCTGTCCTTTGTCAAGAACCGTGTTTTTTTTTGAAGCACTGGAATAAATATGAATGCATATAATTAGATATACGGCCACGTGAAGGCCATATTGGCCATATTTTATCAGACACACAAAAAATGACACTCTATTTCTTATACGACAACGGTTCGATTTTCACTGTAAATTTCGGTTTGAGAGAAAACAAAGACTTAATCACGAATTTTTTATGTCCACATCTGAGAAGTCAAATTGACTGAGGTAAATATAGCCATGATGAAAAGAAAAAGAAAGGATAAAGTGTCTTGATTCTCATATCTAACTCCGTCAAATATTAAATTTCTCCCATTAGGTTCGGTAGTAATTTATCAGACTGTTAGATTCTTGACCTTCGGCAATAATGTTATACGGTAAACATTGATGCCGAAGTTGTGGCAAAGCTGTCAATTTCCATTGTGATGACCAAGTACAGTTTAAAATTTACTTTGATTTATATCAAGAGTCTTAGCATTATATGAAAGAGGAGTGAGCCTGAAAGTCTTTATAGTGTCTTAGAGTTTTGATATAGAGAAAGATTTGTATAAAACAAGTACGTTAAATATGACTGGAGTTCAATAGTTCTTTTTAGCAGAGTAAAAGTACGATAGAATAAAAAGATAATATTTTCTGTTGATTTGTTGTTCAATTTGTACGTGTGATGATTCGTTGACATGGATAAACTAATTTTTTTTTAATAATCTTTTTCAATTCTCGTCGAAATATATCTGATGTTAATATAAAAATTGGAAATGTTAAAGCATAACCAAGATAAATCATATCATAGAATAAATTATTCATAAATGTATCCATCACAGCACGCCATCTTGATAATGTACTAATACTAATATATGATCGATAAATACCGTATACTGGCAGAGGAATATTGAAAATTAAATAGACAATGACTTGATTAATCAACATCTTATGTAATTGTGTTTCTTTTCTTAATACAAGAGTGATGTTACCATTTTCACTTCCATTAATTGATTCTGTTGTTCTTATACGTCGTTTACTTTGATGAATATTACGAATAGTGAGTAATCCAAAGATTGACATTGGAATTATTGGAAGTAAACCATTTTCAAATGTAATAAAATAATTAAAATAGGTGAAAAAGCTTGTTGAATGAATTCGACATTTATTACTTTGAACATCATACATGACGAGAACTTGAATGTAGAAGAGAATCCAAATGATAGCATCAATAATAATAAGGCGAAGAGCAACTTTTGATGAACTCCATTGACGAAGATTAATGCTTTGAGAACTCGAAAAATAACGATCCGCCGATGCAAAAATTATGTTATATCGAGCATTAGCCATTGAAACATAATAAATATAAAAACGAATTCTACAAAACCATGCAGGAAGAGAATTAATCAAAACACCATAACCATACTGAATCATTCGAATAAAAGTTGCAAAATTAAAAATGAATAATTGTGAAAAATTTGAAGCTGTAACATACATAGCACAAGGACTTTTACGAAATATCGCTTGATGAAACACAATACAAGTACAAATTGCTCCAATATTTCCAATAATCCATGCAAAACCATCCAAGCATTGTGAAAAAGTTTTAATTAAAACATTAAACAGAATTGTTAATCGAATTTGATCATCTACAGTACCAAATGTAGTAGTAATCACTGTAATATTACTCATGGGTAAAAATTAACGTTGAATGTTTCAGTAGTCTCTTCTAAGTCAAATCAAAAATAAAATTATAATAAAGTCGCAATCGTATAGTGGAAGTCTAGTTTTTTTTTTTAAATAGATGAAGGCGGGGTGAGGGTGCCCATGATATAATGCAAGTAACGCGAGTACGACTGATCATGAGTAGTCGACAAAACTGCAAGAATGAATAGTAACTATTTTAGTATATCAAGTAAATTCAGACGTCAAAAAAACAAACGCGTTAAGAAATATATTCATAAACATTCAATAACTTACTATACGATCCAAGTTTTGAACAATCATTGGTAGTGGCGTAACCAGAAGTTGGCGACTGAGCAGGGAACACCCTACCAAGCATAGGTGGATCCGGTCTACCGGCAAAAAATATTTGTTCAACTGATGATTGACACATATCCCGAACATTTTACTACAACTCAACCTACTAATGGTGTCTCTGAATCTTTAGTATCTGTAATAGAACGAAGATAGAAATGTTGCTGTACGATAAAAGTCGAAAAGCGGAAAATTTAGATCAGTAAAAAACCAATAGACATACCGGTTCCATCTATACTACCAACTTCCAAAATAGACCTCCGAATACGATTTTTTGCAACACAGAAATCCTAAGTTTAGAGAAAACTTATCTGACATTCCAAGCTGAAGACCAAAAAAGCGCTGTACTCCGCTTTTCTCAGGTTTGAGCACAGTCACAGAAAACCATAATATATTCCTTAAAAACAGGAAAGCAGACGTAGCACCATGTTTTTGTACCGATGAGTAGGCGGCGCCTACTCATGCTCTACCCTGGTTACGCCACTAATTATTGGAATTTTAACATAATTATGAGAAACTATTATAAAAACTACCTGAGCCTTTGCTTTTTACAAGATATATTTTGGCTTATCAAACGTCGATGAACTATAGCATATATATATAGATAGAAATCATCTTACTCTTCTATTGATTCAGATAGTTCACATCGTAATCAGTATGTTATTTCTAAAATTCCATCTATAATGATAAAAGAAATAATCGTAAACGAATTTATTATTATTATATTGAATATAAAGAACATCATATCAATTGAAAAAAACGCCCTTTTCGCATTCAATCTAAAATTATTTGAACAAAGAAGTCATTGGTTGATTATTTCTTCGATATCACTATATTCCACGTTTTAACTAATAGAGATAGCATAATGAAAAGAAATAAAAACATGAAATTGACAACTGAAAATATTTGAATATCATTTTACGTAAAACATCTTGCGAAGATAATTGCCATTTGACTGAGTACGTGCCCCCAATTAAACTACTGATGCAGTAGAGAACGTGATGTTGAATGTTGTTCTTCTCAGATTCTTGAAAGAAGAGATTAATATGTAAATATTCTATTCGTATTCTAAATAGAAGTCTAGAATTGTTCGAAGAATAATTTATTTTCTCCAATACTAAACCAACCATTTTATTAAAATCTTATCAGGATCAAATAATAAAAAAAATAATTTTTCTTTCTGAATTAATTCCTACAAATATCCAATTAAGATGGGCGAGGATCATTTTAATTTAAACATTGTTTCATAACTAGATAAATCATTCCAATTTACTTTTATGACAGCTTCTAACTAAAATTAAACGACTTGAACTAATTTTCAAATAAAGAAAACAATAAGAAATTGAACCAAAAACAAAATAAAAAAACTGAAATAATATTTGACAAGAATTCATTTTTTAAAATCTTCACGTGAAATTAAATGGTTTAGTTCATTGCCTCGACTATGGAGGGTCATGTCGAAAAAAAAGTAGTAAAAAAACTCAAATCCGTTTGTGTGTGTCGCAGGTCAAAGGCCAATATTTATCGATATTTTTAAGACTTCACAGGACATGATTTGGGAGGGATCTTGCGGCTCGATGCAGGTTGAAAGGGTATTTACAGAGCATTAGAATCTGGGAGGAGCAGCGAAATTGCTTAGTTATGCCCTACATCTTATCCAGATGCAGTTCATAAGATCGATCATTACTATATGATCGTATATGTGTTATATTCTCTTTCATTCTCCTTGATATTCTTCTTCTTACATATGTATTATCTTCTCTGTATCGATTGACATTTTCCTTTCTGTTCTTCTTCATATATATAGGGATTTCTCCTTTTGCCAACCTATATATAGTTGGTTATTTTGTGTCGAGAGGTGTGTGGAAAAATAAACATCAAACGAAAAAGCAAGCATAACAGTAGAACAATGAGCGCAGGCACATCTACTTAACCGAAAAGAAATCAAATTTATCTATTACATGTGTGCAGTTCCACCGGAAATCTCCCACTTTATACAAAAGTATCTTCAATCAGGCTGAAACTTCTAGCATTTGGATCTCTCGTTAATTTATTTATATGATAAAAAAATTAGCTTCCTAACTCATTGGCATCCTACTTTTTTCGGTGCTATGAAATCTCACTAGATCATTAGTTGCACACACCCTCGAGAAAATGAAGAAAGTTCATTCTCGAAGTGAGTATTGTATTCCGATCTGCTTGACCCAATCTTCTACTTCACCATAAATTCCACAAACTCGATAGTCACCGTGATCAGGAACCGTCAGTTCATGTTCACTTCCACCGTTAATATTCCCAAACCATTCACTACGTTTTTTATTAGTCATAATCTGTACCGCATCGATCCAAGCACCACTTCTGACACCAAAACCTTGAATAAACTCCCCATTCTCCATGGGAAAGTCGTGTGGTGAACCACCACGCTTTCCAAAGAGAAATGAGCGTTCTCTAGTGACAAATTCCAAACCATCCAAAGCAAAACCTGAATGAACTACGACTTTGATCAAGGGGTCAGCAGGCAATAGAATCGTTGATGGCGAACCAGTCTGTTGTCCAAATTTCATTGATTTCCAAACTTTTCCTATTTCAGGAATGTGTTGAGTTTGCAGTAAATCATCAATGTCACCGATAGTAACATCCGTTCCATCAGTAGCGATGACATGTACGTTGATTTTTCCTTCTCCATTAACTCGATTTCGTAATTCTTCTTTCCAAAGAATAACCTCAGCAGCTGGATTTTCAGTGTAATCTACCCATGATTTTGCAACTTCATCATGTTCCAGGTAGAATTCAATAGCCAAAATTCCGTTCGCTGATTTCAGTAGAATACCTTCATCAATTGCAACACATTGTATATGACTTTTCCAGAACGATTCATCATCGGGTAATGCAAAACATGGATGGATGCGAAATCGAATCATATCCATTCGATGCCATGAGCATTCATTTCCATCGAGAGCTGGTGGACCAGGTGGTTCAACGGCACAGAACGATCGATTCAAACGAATGTAATCTCTCATCATCACACCATCCGGTTCATGTGGACAACCGAGTGCATGTCCGATTTCGTGCAGCATCGCTCCAAGACCAACATTGCATGCGATCCAATATTTATCACCTTCGGCATCAATACCGCAATACTTTGTGTCAACAGTCCGTTCATTCGTAAAACATGGAATGACGTCTTCCAAAGTTGTTGGCCACGAAAAAAGAGTATGAGAACCAAAGATTCCTACGGAGTATTTTGCATTAATACCTCCTGACCCTAATGCCGCATGACCTGTAATCAGATTATTGTCATAATGTGAATCTAAGAGTAGGACTGCGACATAATTTCTCTCTTCTTGAAATTCAGAACGAATGGCTTCTAACGCAATATCGAATAGACTGTCTTTGTCTTTTGCATTTGAATTTTGTTGTGCTCGGTTTGGATCTCGAATTTCAGCAGTTGTATATCTACTTCTGAGAATCCGAATGTTTACCGTGTTTCTAGATGATTGATCTACACTACTGAGTGTATCAGGTTGATATGATTCATCAAGACGGAATGTTCGATGATTGAAGCCATTGGAAAACATTTGAGAAGCGGTATATGATTGCCATAAATAGCCTGCGAGACGTAATCTTTTGATAGCTGTCTCTAGATCTGGTGGATATTCACAATCGGGAGTGTCGTCGAATGTAAGTGGTGAATCACACGCAACGAGAATGCATAAATTAAGTGGAGGAATTTGTAAAAGTGGAATGTAATTAACTGGCCAAATCGATTCCCAAGTTTGCTGCCTATCAATAAAATTCAATTGAATCAAATTTTCACCAGATGATAAATGTATTAATGCTTTGAAGCGTCCATTTTTCACTGGAAATGTTTGCGTTGGAAAATTATTCTCATGTGCAATGATTTGAATGTTGCCATTGGCTGTTGTTGATGATCCACATGTTCCTTCTACCAGAAGTAAACGACAATGAACTTCACTATCTGCAGGATGTGAAGTGATACACGGCGTGAAATCCACAGTATTCGCCATTGCAGACGGTTCTTTTTTAATGGAGAAAGAGTTAAAACTATTGCCTTAGATAAATAAAGGAGAAAAACGAAAAAAGCGCTGCGCTCTTATACAAGTGAATGTTGTTTTTTTTCTACATAAAGAATGAATAAGACATGAGTCGTGTGACTCAGTTTATTTGAAGCAAAGTTTCAAATGATGAAAAAACAAAAATTCTGAATCACATGTGTGACAATCTTTTTCGCATGGTCTGTACGCATGCTATTTGTCCCTACTTTGGTGCATTTTTATGTACTTTGGCCTTATCCTTCCTTCCTTTCTATCGAGAGAAGGGTATATAAACGTGTGTTTTGTATTAGAACGAGGCGATTGATGATAGGAAGAAATAAAGAAAGACATGATTCTACCGGGATACACATCTCTTCCATCAGAATTCGTCACAACATGCACATGGGACACTGCAACAATTGTAATGGAAACAACTTATTCTGATCGAAGGTAATTAGCAACAACTTCTCCATTTCTAGCATGTCCTTTCGTATTTGGATGAAAATAATCATCAGCGTAAGGGCTGTATATACACCTCTATTAATAATTTGATCAAATGCTTCAACCAGGTTCATGTCATTTCCATCAATGGTAATAACAACATGAGTAACGTTGGATAAGATATTCTTATACCATCTCGAACAACATTTCTCGCGGACCATCCTAACAGATTAGCTGCAACGATTGGATACAAAATAGGATAGCCGCCAGCAGTACTAGCTGCAGTATCTGATACCATACGATATGATTTCCCAAGTACCTTTCTGCATGAGAATGGGGGTGGAAGGGTATTCAAAAGATCGAGAGAAGAATGATGAGAACGTACCTTGCAGTACAAATCATCCCTATATGGAAAGCTGTAATCAAATACTTTAATATCTGGATTTTCTCTGCTTTTCTATTTTTAAAAAGATTATGTTAATCCTCGACTGTTAAATAAAGAAGACTTAATTCATTATATAGTCTATACCAAATATGAATAACGCATCGAATGAGAATGAAACAGAATTATATACTGATGCGATAGTTTCGTGTCGATTTCGATTTTGGCCTTCTCTCTTTTCGAATCCATTTTCTCTCAGTTTTTGTTTATTTATACTCTTTACCATTTCCTATTCGATCGAAATCTTCATCAATCACTCAATTCTAATTCTCATTCAACTATTGAAAGACACGTTCTCATCTTTCACGATCATTGGTTAGCGACTCGAAGACGATGTTTCTTGATTCATTATTTACCGTTAATTCTAATTAGTATGTATAGTTTGATCTATTGTGCTGCTATTATATTCGTTCCATTATGCTCGCGGTTAACTTTTCAATTATCTATGCACGGTGTTTATTATCCAATAAATTGCTATAAGTGCGTTTGATGTTTAGACTACAGGAAGTTCAGGGAAATAATTAAATATATACTTAGCGCTGTTACATAAATATCAATTCAACTAAACGATCTGGAAGGTGCTCAAGTTTATTCAGTATTGATCTAATTCGAAATAGCTTTAAAACTCTGCTCTTTATTTATCTACAACTAGAAGAATCAAACTTGTTACAATTCGTTCATGTTTTTTTAACTGTTTAGCTAATAAAGAAAAGAAAACGGAAAAAACAAGACTTGCAACGACCGTCAAGATACTATCTAGAAGAATATTCATTGCGTTGGTATAATTCTCGATATTCTCCGATGTTATATTCAGTTTATGGCGAACATAATAAATGATTTCATATGGATGATCCATCGTGCTGACACGTGTACATTTCTAACGAATACATTTCAAGTCACAGAACAAAGCACAGTATTTCCAAAATAGAAAAGCTCAGAGCGATTTTTGTTCCACAAAAAAGTGACAGGTAGCTTCTGCTTCTATCTCCTATTCAGTCGTACAAAAATTCCCTTTCCTTTAATATCGTCCGACTAACGTAAAAATAAAATTTGTTCATTGTTTCAGTTTGATACATTCAAATATTGTATGTTGCAATACGAGAGTCAGAATTATCTTTTTTATTTGGACAATCATTTACTATGGCAATAAATAAAAACGAGTGGAATCGTATGTTAAATCCGAACTCAATACTGACATTTCTCATGCGAGCTTGTGTTTAGGATCATTATTTGGTTGTACGGATAATTGTAGTTCATGTTGTTATGGATTTTGGTGTGAACTTTGTCTATTTGGTAGATGCTGATTTGTATTTGAAAGTTTATTAACAAATAGATACTGAAAAGCTATCTCAAAGATAAACTTTTCTACAATAAAGATTGCGGATGAATTTGTTTCGTTCATACAATAGTTGAATAACCCTTTACAATACAGTTTATCGACTTTTTCGTATTTCTTTCACTTTGACGAAGTTATGAGAAATAACAGACGAATCTATTTTTGTTATTTTTTTTTAAGTAGAAACGTCTTCCGATGAAAAAAAATTTTAACGGCCCTTACACAGTTCTTCGAGGTAAATTTAGTGATTACTTTCTTTTCAAGCAAAATTCTTCATTTAGTAAGATGTTTCTCGTTAAAAACAAATAAAAACTCTCATATAGAGACAGCGCATGTAAACGATGTAGATGGGCGTGAGGAAAGCAACATTATGATGTTGCTTGAAATACCTAAGATGTTTTGCGAGCAAGTTAAATTCTCTGTTTGTGTCTTTGCCGTTCTTATGTTTTCTTTGATTATAATGTACAAATGCGTACCTTGTTGATGCTAGCTGCCGGTCTGTTTTTTTCTTCAAGTGTTTGAATGGAAGACATTCGTTTGAATCTATATGTAGGCAAAAATTTCGATCGATCTCGTTGCTGTTTGAAGACTTTTATGTAAGAGAAGTATTTTTCAGATTGACACAGGTTTTAGTTTATACTCGAATCGGTAGAAATTGTCTAGTTATACGTCTAGAAGAACAGGATTGAATTTCCAGCCAAATGTCAAACAAAGTTCGATCAAAAGATCTCACTCTCAATCCTTCCCAATTGGTAGATAAAAACTCTCATTCATATTCAAAAGGTGCTCCAGCAGATAGTGCTATCGACATTCCATCGGTTTCATCAAAACCAAATTCCAAGTCAGTATGAGATGTGTGAAATCTTCTGGTTGCTTATAATGATTAAATGAATAGATGTTCCGTTTCACGAGTACTCTGTATTCAAGGATTGATTATACTATTTCTTCTGACACTGGCAGCTGTGATTATACCTATCGTAGTTTTAGTAATGGGTAAGTCGGCAAAGCATCGGATCAGTCCATTCCTAATGAATGAGAAAGCGTTCTTTGGATACCGTTTCTAATAAATGTTTTCTTTTTTTGTTTAGACACCACCAACAGAGGATCACGTAAGCCGTTGTGACTTATTCGGTCAATGATATTATTCTTGTTGTTAATTTAGCATGTGCTACAACCTATTCACAATCGTTTGTATACAACACTATTCCAACGACACAATGTGCAGCGTGGCAAACATTCACATCGACGTTGACTTGTACAAAGTATACACTCCTCCGTATGTACGGCTCGAATGATCCAGTTGGTATTACTCTAACAGATCCTTCGATTGTTACCGCAATTGCAGTAGGTCTACGTTATAACACTACTATTAGTGCTACTTCGAATGGAGTTAATTGGAGAGTTGGTTCGTGTTGGTGGAGCGTCCCGGGCGAAATAACTACAGTAGGAAGTATCTGTTCTAATTCTTATGGTTACACAATCAGACCGTGCGTTGCTTATGCAGGATATTGGGGTGGTATTTTAACACAATCATGTTATGGTGCGAGTCAAACATTGTCTCTGTATCTCGAATAAACAATAACGAAACACTTTTTAGACAAAAAACTGTATCGTTTCTTTTTATTTCTAACGAAGAAAAATAAATATTCTAAGATTTATTATTTATCGTTGTCGAGCGACATCTAAACAAAATGATTCAAATGGAGTGACGCTTACTTTTCATATAGGATTCTGATTGGTGATATGTTTTTTTCCCCAGATCGTACAGTGTAGTCATTGATGTGAAATTTCCAATCTCAGTTCATCGATTTACAACCGACATGTCAACAGCGATCGAAAGATTGCCGACGGAAACACTACATCAGATTTTGGATAATCTCGATGTTGAAACCATTGTCATTTCTTTGAGGCAAGTATGCCGAAGGTTTCGTTCAGTTATGCAAAGTTACAATCGTTATGTGTTCGAGTTCCGACAGACTTCGAAATCAAATTTGAGCCTTATTTATCGACTAGTTCGTCCTGAGAGCGTTATTTCATTGGTGCTGAGCGATGATAGAACACCCGGTCAAGTTAGTTTCTTCTTTTCATTGCCTCAAATTCATAAATTTTCTCGACTTCAATCACTCGTTCTTCGGGATATTCATGAACCACAGGTGGTTAGAATTTTGAGACGAATAAAACTCGACCAGCTGAAGTCAGTGGTAATCAAAATAGACAAATACGATGGCCGACGAAGAATGACAACTGTTAACTTTTTGAGATCCGTTGTCTCCCAACCGAATCTTCGCAAACTTGACTTACAAATCAACAGCAGGAGATTTCATCTAATACAATGGTCACGACCAAATACCCTTCGTGATTTATCAATTGATGGAAATATGGATGGTGATCACTTATACAAAATTCTGCAGTGTTCACCCCTCTTACAAACACTAAAACTAAGACAAGGGCTCCCACTTACAAATAATTGGAACAAGTCCATATGTTTTCCAACATTGACTTCGCTTACGCTCGATGAAATAAGCATAGACATCGATGAGCTTCAATCTTTCCTTCTGTTCACTCCACGACTCGCCCATCTGAAAGTGATTGGCAGTGTAGATTATTTTAGTGGAACAGAATGGGAGCAATTTATTCAAATACATTTACCAATGCTTAATCAATTCGAAATCTTTCTGTTGATACGATTTATGTCGTTAACTTCTTCTCAAGATGCCGAATCAATTATTGGGCCATTACGATCTCCATTTTGGATCGAACATAAAAAATGGTTTTTCACCTGCGAACAAGGTTTGCAGTCGTGTCGCGCATACCTTTACTCGTTACCAAGTTGCCAGTCGACAATGAAATACATAATACCATCACAGAGAATCCTCCTCTCTACCTTGCCTCCTGATTCATCAACGATGGACAATATGAAGAATCTGACTGTGGCGTTGACAAACGAGTTAGTCGATGAGTTATTAGAGAAAGTATGTAATACAAGACGGACTTTAAAGGAAGGATAATAGCACATCGAATATTTTTAGAAGCCACAGCCTGTACTTCTCAATACGATTAAACTCTTGGTGGATGTAAAGAGCGATCGGCTAGTTATTCCGCTCGTTTCACTCACAATTTTAGTCGACCTATCACATCTTGTTGAAATTGAATTTGGAGAGTGTTATCCTATATTATCAGATGGAGATTTTGATGTAGATGCATTTTCTGATATGAAGACTTTACTTCGACAAGCGCCTAATCTTTCGTCCCTCCTGATCAGCGACCAATTCGCTTATGGGTTCGGACTGAGTACGATGGATATTTGTTATCTTCTTTCACGTCAGATCAAACATTTACAACTACCTGTTAGCGATTTAAATGATATCAAACTTGTTTTGGAACAATGTCAGTATTTATCAACTGTGCGATTCACTGCCCGTCAAAGGAAACTTCCGACACAGATTGTTCGATGGATAGACGAGAATACAACCGGTTCAACATGTCGAAAGAATGCTGATTCTGTTCAAGTATGGCTTGGCAAGAATAATATCGAGTCAAGTGAACCCGAAGCCACGTGTAAACGACCTAAATTGAGTTCTGGTGATATTTATTAATATAAACTCGAAATGACATGTATAGTTTATGAGAAATATGTATTTTTACTTGCATTCATTGCTGTAGAAATAAACCAGATTTTAGTCTTCTGATTTTTGTAAACGTGCAAGTTCATGTCGAATCGAGTTTTTCATTGATTCAAGTGCCTGATGATCTTGCCAGAGTTCTTCATTTATATTGAGTGTATCGATTGAGTTCTTAATTATCGTTGCGATTTCCGATCCGGATGGTTCATGCGTTGGATTCTCAAAATAATTCGGAAACGATTTGGCTAAAGTCGAGCGACCAAAATCAAAAAGTCTTCGAGGAGCCGTATACACATCGATTGACATAATTTTCCGAATAAAACAGTGCGTAGCAAACGCAACAGCGAGCAATGGAGCAAGAGAAACTGCTAAAATGCTCTCGATTCCCAATTGTGGGAAGGAACCTGGATGGCAATGAACAATAACCAATCCGATAGTAATTCCAACCAGAAGTGATGAAGCAACACTGCCGGTTATAATACAAGCATATTTTGTTTTCATTCCTTGATCACTCTGAGACAACACGCCGAGCATTTCAGTCAATGGACCAGCGATAACTTTACATTGTCCTACTAGGTTTTCAAAGGCCAGTGCCCATGCTTCACGAATTTGGACAATTTTTTGTGGATCCGATGTTTGCAACGCCTCTTCGATCAAAAACAGTGCTTTGTTGAGAAATTGGATTTTCAGTCGTTTGTGTTCATCTTCCACTTGTTGGCAAATCTTCATGCAATTCGTACGATCATCGTCAGTCAATCCTTTTGTCTCTTCAATATCTTTTCGAATTTCAGTAAGTAAGTCTGTACCGTGTATGGGGGTAAAATCTGCAAGTTCTTCATTTGCCATATTTTAATCTAAAATGGAATATTCTCGCTTTGTAGAAAAGTGAAAAGAGTCAGTGTCATTTGTCACAGAAAGAGAAAAGTCACCCCCATCATTCACACAATGAATTTAGAGTATTAGATTGTCTTTTATGAAGTCCCTCAAGAAAATAGGAAAGTTTCAAGATATTATAAATGCGCAACACTCAATAAGATGAGGAAAAAGCCATGATGTAGGCATTTTATCTCCAACATACAGCACAGTAACCTTATATCAATATTTGCGAACCAATCACAATTCCGTGAGATGCGTCAATGATGTTTTGGTATTTATTCTAGGAGGGTTTTTTCACATTATCGTGTGCAAGATATAACCAATACACGCGTTTTGAGAGTTTCTACCAGATTGCTTGAGACGACGGTATGAGCTACATAGCGTATCTTCAAAATTATATATCGCAATGAGATTTCGTTTTAGATCGTAAAATGGCGAAGGCAACTGAAGAACTTTTGAGTATGATCACAAAGGAGACCAAAACTTTATTGGCAGAAATTCATCAAGACATTCAGGAGACGAAAGCATTGACTGATGATGATCGTACGAAATGCATGAAGATTTGCCAGCAAGTGGAAAATGAACACAAACGACTGAAAATCCAATTTCTTAATCAATCAATATCATTGATCGGTCAAGCACTGGAAACATCGGATCCACAAAAAATCCTCCAAATTCGTCAAGCATGGGCATTGGCATTGGAAAATCTTGTACGTCAATGTAGAACTATTGCTTGTCCATTGTTGGAGTTATTAGGAGTCTTATCTCGGCAAGACGCAAAACTTGGGAAGAAATATGCAGGTCTCCTCACGGGCGCAGTTTTGAGTTCTTGTTTGTGCGGTGCAGCCATCGTAGTATTAATTGCTCATTATCATCCCGGTTGTTGTTTCCAGCTAGCAGCCGAGGCTGTACTTGTAGTTGCAGGTGGAGCATTGTTAGCCATAGCAGTTGCTGTTGGCTGTATCACAGGCTGTGTAACGGTGGCAAGACTACGCACAGTCTATAGCAAATGTTCGGATTCCGTTCGATTGATGTTGGTTAGTTGTTTTCCATGCTGCTTTGATGGCTCAACTAAAGATCCAAATGAAGCAGAGTTGGCAAGTATCATCGAAAAAGCGATTAACACTCTCAATATCAAGGAGGATACATGGTTCAACCGTCCAGCGCTAGAAATGTTGAAAGGATCCGCCGAAACCGAACGTGATCATTTGACAAATTCATGACTGGCATGTCCTCGCACAATATTTTATTTCGAAATAAAAATACGGTCAATCAAAGATTTCTCACACAGTAAAAGAACACATTCCCTTCTACGATACCGAGTATGACATGAACCATAGTCGTGTTGTCCTGAGACTAAAATCAGTGACAATATTAGAGTATTATCATGTGCTCATAAATAGTTTATCGATCAATTTATCAATCATATAACGACACTGATTTGTTTCTTACTGCTTAGAACATAAGGGTATGATTACTTGAGAAAAGGAGTATGTCGACGCGCATCTTAGCACTCGAGATGGAAGAAAAATCAGACTGGATAATAATTCGTCGTATAAAGCTTTGTGTACATGAGTCATCAAAAATAGTATATATTGTCATCAGCTGGAATGAGAGGAAGGAAAATGACGTCATATATGGATTTATTCCTCCTCTTTCCATGCTTTCGGTTATATCCAATTCTATTCGTTTTTTGTCATCAAAGTTGGGGAAAAGCCAGCAGAATGTTAGTGTATAAATCACGTGGAATTAGATGCTCTCATATCATTTACGCATCAGATGTTGATAGACACAGTAAAACACATCTCCTAGCAAACCATTTGATATGTTTCAGATAAAAATCTATTAGAAATTTTCCTCATTCCTTCAAAGATTCATGTCTAATGCAAACGAATCTCACCTTGATACAGTACCAACGGAAATTCTTTATCGGATTTGCGACGGACTCGATGCAGAGACAATTCTTTTTTCGTTCCGTTGTGTATGTAAACGATTTCATACAATCAGCAAAAGTTACGATCATTATCACTTGGATCTACGTCGGATGGAGTATTTAACTGATCCTAAAACTGTCACTTCGCTTACATTGGCAAACGAAGACAAATCAACTCGTTCAATGGAATACTTCTTCGACCACTTTTCTCTTCAAACGTTTTAGCCAATTGGCTTTAATAACTTTCGCTTTGCATCATAGCATCGATTTCGATAGGATTTCAAAGTTTATTAAACAATCATCTTTGACAACATTCTCAATATGGCTTTGTAACTACGATTTCAGAAGCTTTAAAAGTTTAATAGAAGCACTCAAATCGTGTCGATTAAAGAATCTGATCATCCTTGATATGATTGACTGGCCAAATCTAGCATTTACCATCAGTACGTTAACTGACTTATAGAAATTAGTTTTGAAATCGTTTCACAAACAACCGTTCGATCAGTTTATTGAGTCACAGCTCAACAATGAGGAAGTCAGCAGTTTAACTTCATCGTCAATAAACATGCAAACTGAAGTCGTCATACAATACATCGAATCGATTCTAATGCGCTGTCCTCAATTGCAATATCTTCAATTGGACAGCTTAGGAAACCAAACGGATAAATCGTTATTCGACGGTTACAAATGAGAGAATTTGATCGAAACCAGATTACCTTTATTGAAACAATTCGAATTCAATTTTTCTTATCACCCACCTAAATTTGGAAACACTTTCAATGTTGACGCATCGTTCGATGCGATTACGTTGCTAATGAAGATAAGAAATAGTACGATGTTTATTCAGTACCAATGAATATTCGAGAGGAATTCGATTATTCTTGTCATCGAATGACAGTCTTAGATTCAGTGTCGCCAACCATCGATGAAAATAAAGCGAACGTCGTTTATGTACATCGATTAATTTTGAATTTGAATCAATTAATGATTGAAAATACTCAAGCGAGGGTAATTGTCATCTGAAGTTTCAAGAAAATCATACAGAGTTTTTTTTTACTTCTAGACTAATTTAGTAACGAAGTATCAATTTCGAAATGTGAAAGAACTAGTTTTGATCATTAATCGAGAATGGTCAAACAATGCCATCGAATGTCTTTCGACAATGATTGTTTTATCAAATCTCGAGAAGGTACATTTGAAAATCGACGATAAATGTAAATTTGTCAGAGATTTGGATGTGAAATTGAAAGTTCTACTCAAACAAGCATGGGATCTTCGTTCGTTGAAAATAACTTGTACGAATGCTAAAACAAGAAAACTGATCGTTCGAGATAAAATCGCGTTATACCGACCAACTTGATATTGAAGTCCAAGATTTGGATGATGTCAAAACAGTATTGAAAAACGAGAAATACTTATCACATGTCACATTTCGCCCTATCCAGGATGACAATGTTAACTTGGTTGATGAAATTGAAGATTGGCTTCCACATATGAAAAAGAATTATAATTTACTTCAAGCAAAGGAGTGTATATATGGCTCGACTAAAGTACGAGTGCAAACGTTTGTTTTTATTTTGCAAGAGTTTTGCATACGTATGGGCCTTATTTCGTAGATAATAAAACTTTTATTTCTAAATGAGTTTTTCTATGCATGTTGAAATACGAAAGTTCTACTTAAAAATCATGCACTTCTCGGAGTATCAACATATACCAAGTGTACGATTGTTTTCGGCTTTGAACTCTTTTTTCGCCGTCGATATCGTCGATGTTTTGCCACTGGATCAATTTTGAAGAAATACTTCAATACATCCATTATAACAATACCAGAGAGTACACACCCAATCGCTATGATTGCTATATATACAAAAGATTGTTTAACGATGGTTTTGATCATAAGACTTGTGCTCTTTACTTCACAAAATCGCCCAGTAAAATCAGGCGTTGTGCATTCACAAGTAAAATTCAGTAGTATTGAGCGGCATTGACCATTGTTTTGACAGGTAATGTTTTGACAATAATCGATTGTTGATTCACAATGAATGCCGTTGTAGCCAGAATGACATTTGCATTGAAACGTCGTGGCACTAGTTTGATTACAAACACCACGATCGAGACGAGTCCACGGTTGACATGGTCGATTATCAATTTCACAATTAGATCCAATAAAATCTTGCATACATGCACATCTGTAAGAAGACGGTGAGAGATTTATACATGAACCGTTATTAATACATGGTTTCGTCATTTGACAAAGATCGACACTAACATTACAATTGAGACCGATGTTGCCATTTGAACATGTTGGTATGTATAAGACTGATACATTAGATGCGAGTGTAGTTTGAATTTTACCAGTACTGATTACCATTGTCGAAGAGGAAGATGCTTCACTTGTATTTGGATCATCGATCGAAGTAGTAGGTATGGTAGTTGGTGCAGTCGAGAAAAATGGTTCGGAAAGATTTTGCCCACAAATAGCGTGGAAATTTGGAAATAAATTCGACGACAGATAATATGAGACGTTTGTTCCTATTTGTAGACGTGCGGCGTTGATTGTTCGTGATATATCAATCATTGTTATACTTCTGTTGAAAAAACAATCTAATGGACAATTATAAAGAATCGTATTTGTTGTAATATTTGCATTCGTAAAATTGGACGGTCCTAAACATTTAATATTGAACACTTGACGAGTATTTTCGAAGACTATATTGCAATTATATAAATCAACAATATCGAAATTAGTTGGAATGGTTGGATTGCTTTGGATGGTCGTATTTAATAATTGGTATGGACTTTGTGAGGCTGTGAGAAAATAAGAAAGCATCTGTGGCATGCAACATACGAAGTCATGTGAACATACCCTTTCCACAAGCACAACAATTCAGCTCTGGAAAATTAAATCGTTCTCCTAATGTCCACTGATTACCTGAGGTAAAACTTCCATCTGCACAGAACTTGAAAATAACCTCATATTCAAAACAACTCCATCCACGCGTAGTGGGACTTCCGGAATACTTATTTGTCCAATTTGATGTGTCAATACAATCTATTCAAGAAAATCAAGACGTATAAATTAATTCTAATCAAATATATTTACTTGGTGGTATGTATCGATTTGTAACGGCTGTTGATAAACATTGAATAAAATCATGTCGGCATAGCATCGAGGCATTCTGTGATGCTTGTATACCTTTGCACGACAAATTGTAATCACTTGTTGTCCAATTCGTAAAGTATAACAAATAATTATCTTGAGGAATCGTAATAGCATACGTTACCGATAAATTCATTGTGTCGATGACTAATGTACAATTGAATATTGTAAAATCGATATTGGAAACGGTTTCAATCGCTGTCACTGGATTTGTAAATAATTTACATGTCATATTGCATGCATAGCTATTCCCGTATGTATCAATGCAAAGAACATTAGTACCACTCGTATTATAATGTGCATTGCTCATTAGTTTGGGAACAACTTTTGTTGATGCGTATCCTGATGATGGAACGAACCATAGCGGCCATCCTAGAATATATTGAGAATACTGTAGAAGTTTTCTTTGCAATTTAGGTATTACCTTTGCCGCAACCGCAACAGTTAAACTCTGGGTATTTGAAAAATGACCCTAAAGTCCAGTGATAGTTTGTTGTGAAAGTTGCACCATAACACCAGGCAAGGTTGGTTTCAAGATCAGAACAAGTGTATTGGATAAATATATGATTTACAAGAGAATTATTGTTTGTCCACTGTGGTGTGTCGAGACAATCTAAATGAGATGCAAGTTTTCTCAATTCGATATTGTAAGAGCCGAAAAGTATACCTGACGATGCGCATCTATATGTGGTTGTTGTTGGTAAACATTGCGCAGAATTGTGACGACATATCATCGAAGAATTTTCCGGTAAAGTTGAGTTGAAACATGTAAAATTGTAATCACTATTCATCCAATTCGTGAAAAAGATCAAGTAACTATTTTGTGGAATGTCCAAAGCGTATCTCATTGAAGTGTCAGCTGTTTGTGCAATCAATGTACAATTAGACGAGTTAAAGTTATTGTCGGTAATAGTTGACAACGATACGACTGGACTCATCCATGTTTTGCATGTCATATTACATACGTCAGAATTGCCAAGAACATCGATGCATTTCAGATTATTGCCAGTTGAATTGTCGAGTCTTTTTGTGTGTTTAGGAATCGCTTTCAAAGCTGCACTACCATTTTTTGGTGCAAACCATATTGGCCATCCTAGACACACCTTAGCAAATAGATGATTGACAAACTCTTAATTTACCTTTCCCACAGCCACAACAATTAAATTCCGGGTAACGATAGATACTGCCTCCTGTCCAATAGCTGTCCCATGCAAAATCACCATTAGCACACCATGATTTATTGAACTGATAGTCAGTACAAGAATGAGCAGGATTTCCATTAAGCCAATTGTTAGTATCATTGCAGATAGTTACGTTCAATGCTCTATAATCGAAGTCATTTTATTCATGAAAAACGAAGACAAACAATTTAATTCACGTACATATGCGATGAAAAAAACAAACTGATAATAACTACTTGATATTTTAAGAACACCATTTAGTACTTTTTTCTAACTCAGACCGATCTTCCATTGTTCAAATGAAACAAAACTAACAATTTAAAATAACGCACATTCATCGACATTTAAGACAGATTCTATTTCTGTTCGATTATTTGAACAATATTTAAACAAAGAAAAATCAACATTATGCGCACTTTCATCTAACTTCTATTCTATGGGTGTTTGTATTGATTTTTCTCAAATTTACAATTGTCACGTATATAAAACAAATGTAAATATCAATTGAAGACTCAATTGGTGACAAAAACTTCCTGATGGGAAGAACCTCGAGAATTATTGTTCGAAAGAATCTTGAAGGCGAGGGAAAGGAATGCAAAATGTTGTGTTCAGTCGGTGAAGTATCATTTATATTTGCATAGAATTAAATGAGATCTTAACTAGTGAAAAGTAATCAAAATCATAGAACAAATAACAATAATATTATGCGGCGGAATATTTTATAAAAAAAAAGTTTGATAAATTCGATGGTTGTTGTTCATGTGAATCTTATTAGATATCTTTCTTATCGAAGTTTGAAGAGCAGTGATTTGTATATGAGCAACGTGACATACTCATCTATTTCTTGCTTTATATAAAAAACACTACTTTGTTTTCAAAGTAACAGGACTTATGTTTTCAATTATCATCATCATATGTCATTTCAATGAACAGATGTAAATAGGCAAGTGAATGAGATCGTTCTCCTTAATTATTTATTCCTATATTTAATTCTGAAAAAGGATAGAAGAAAAAGTCTAATAGAAAAAACAAAAGTTAACAATAAATATCGTTACTTATTTCAGTTAAATAAGTTCAAATGGTAATGCCCCTATCTACTATTGTCAATTCAAGTCTATTTAACTATTGCAACACCACATTTCAATCTTCATCATACAGATTGGACAAACGAACATGAAATTGATGTTACATTACAACATGGTTGCCTTAACGTTTCAGCTACAACTGAGGGCGTGGATGCGAGTGCAGCCCGCAAGAGGGAAGTCACCCACAGCCTTAGCATGATTCATAACAATTAGTTCCCGATCGCCGCGTAGTTCATTGATTGATAGTTAATAATCAGTTAGTTAACGATTCATAATCAATTAGTTACAAGGTTAAAAGCCGACAACTCGAAGAAGACATTTAATACTCGAATCGAGTTAACGATTTGTACACTACTCAGGTTGATAGGATATTTCGAACATGAGAGAGTAATTTTTATTTCAAAAATCGAACAAATTACGTTTTTATGTAATTAGAAATGTGCAGGAATAGAGTCGATATAAAAATGTCTTCATATTAACCTCTTTAATATAAATAAATCGCCAGTAGTCTTTTCCAATAATTACAAACATGCATTCAGAAAAATGGTAATATCACCAGATTTCTTATTTGTAACTACTAAATCGATTTTTTTATCTTTATTGAAATCAGCTGAAACCAAAGCACTTGGCCAGACATGTGTTGCATATGTTCTTTGAAAAAGAAGACTTGTGGTTCCATTGCCAAATAATATGCTGATGTCGTTGGCTCCTTGGTTGACAACAGCGATATCGATTTTGTCATCCCGATTAAAATCACCTGAGAGCAAAGTAGTAGGTCCGGTTCCTACTTTGAATTTCATTAATGTCTGAAAAGTTCCGTTCTGATTACCATACAAAATACTAATCGTATTTTCACCCTGATTGGCGGTAACTAAATCCATATAGTGATCATTATTGAAATCAATAGATATGATGGAATATGGATTGGGACCAGTTTTGTACATAATATGAGACTGGAATGTTCCATTACCCCGTCCAAATAATACGCTGACATTTTTTCCATAATAATTACTCACTGCTAAATCTAAGATGTTATCATCATTGAAGTATCCTGCAGTTAGCGAAGTTGGCTGATTACCCACCGGAAATTGGAAGTTATTACTGGTATTGAAAGTATGATTTTTCCTGGCCAACAGTATAATGATGGAGTTGTTGTTTTGATTAGTCAATGCTAAATCCAAATTTGAATCACCATTGAAATCGGCAGTTAATACAAAAGTAGCATTGAATGGAAGTGAATAATCTATTTGATTTCCAAGCGTACCATCTGCGCTACCATATAATATACGAAGCATGTTATTGTTATAGATTAGAATTAGATCTAACATCTTATCATTGTTAATGTCACCTGATGTCATAAATTGATGATTTTGTTTCATTGCATACGGTACTCGCCCTTCAAAAAGTCCGTTTCCACTGCCTAATAGAATGTAATTTGCTGCATCTCCGTGGCAGATGATAACTAAATCCAGATGATTATCTAGATTAACATCGAATGACACCAATGATCTTGGTCCGGAACCAACGGCATATTTCGTTTGTGACTGAAATTTTCCATTTCCACGGTTGAGAAATACACTAACAGTTCTGTCGTTGACGTTAGTCACTGCTATATCCGTATAGTTATCATGATTAAAGTCGCCAAAAGCAACACCGCTAGGAATAGCTCCTGCAGGATACGGCACACAATCCTGGAAAGTACCATTTAAATTTCCAAACAATACACAGAAAGTATTCGAACTCCAATTAGGAACTGCCAAGTCTAGTATGCCATCATTGTTAAAGTCAGCAGCATTCATGCTATTTGGCCCAGACTGCGTGTCAAATGTGTACTGATCTTGAAATGTTCCATCACCATTACCTATCAGTATACCAACGTTGTCATATTCAAAGTTCGATACTGCTAGATCCAGTATGCCATCATAGTTAAAGTCACGTGTTATCGAATTATCTGCGCCTGGATAAACATAATAAATAACTTGGTCCTGGAATGTAGCATTGCCATTACCAAGTAATATACTAATAGTACCATTATCCTGATTGACTATTGACAGATCGATGATTGAGTCATTGTTAAAGTCACCTGTCGCTATTGAACGAGGCCGCTGGCCAGTTGGATATAATGTACGGTCAGAGAATGTTCCATCACCAACACCTAATAGAACGCTTACGGTATTTTCTTTAAGGTTAGTTGCTACAAGATCTAGAATTCGATCATTATTAACATCAGCTGCCGCAACGGAACCCACACTGGCACCAATTTGAAATCGAGTCTGAATACCAAATGAGCCATCACTATTAGCAAGAAGTACACTGAGTGCATTGTCGTCTTCGTTTCCTATGATTAAATCCGTAATGTTATCTTTGTTCAAATCAGCTGCTGCAATACTAATGGGAGAAATACCAGTTACAAAAGTTATTTCAATTGGAAAAGTTCCTGCACTGTTGCCAAATAAAATGTAAAGCGGATTGGTATCTTCGGTAAGAACTGCTACATCTGAGTTTGTGTCGTTATTAAAATCTGCCACCACCAGATAGCTTGGAGAAGATCCAATTGTGAAACTTGATGAGGTTAGATATGGTTCCATACAAACATATGCTGTAATTAGATAGGTCAGCGCCGTATATTTAGTATAAGTCTTTATCGAAAGACATACCTGGTGTTTTAGTCGTCGATCTTAGACCTAACACACATCCCAGAATAATTGCTCCAACAACTAAAAGTGCTAATAAGCATATTGGAATGTTATACCTTTTCTTGCGATACCATGAACGTCTAAAAGAATATTTTAGAATTTCTTGTCAGATGTGAAAGCAGGGTTTACTTGATCTTTGGATAGATATGAGCGCCTAAATATAGAAGTTAACTAACTCGTGAAAGTGAATCGAAAAGCTCTTCGTCTACCTTCGAAAGGAGGTTCGAGTAAGGTTACTTCAGGAATCACTTGTTTCAAATGGATAATATGAAGATCAGGTGCTGGACTAAATAATGATTGAACAATCATATGAGTACCAGGTAGAAGAAGTATTTCCTCTTCCGTGACAAAGTGAGAATGAGCACGTATTGTTCGGCCATTGAACACTTCGACTGAAAACAGTGTTCGACTACCTTCGTTACCCAAATACATATTATTTTCCAGAACAGTCAATTCAGTCGTACACGACGAGAACGCCCACCATGTAACAGGAGTTCCAGGAGGAAATTCTGCGCTCAAGTTTTTCGTCACACCTCTCCAAACTGTCAATGGTGGAACACATGGTAATTTCACCAGAGCACTTAAGAAAAGTTTCATGTATTTGAAATAAGGTTGCAGTTCCGAACGAGGGCACGTCTTCAATGTGTAGTTGAGCATGGAATAAAGACTACGATGTGGTGCTGCCCATTCAATTGAATATAGACGAATAGCTGCACTCTCATCTATGGTTAAATCATCTGGCGGTTCCTTTGGTGTTTCATCAAGTGCCATTTGGACATAGAATGACAAATTATAGAGAATACTATCTAGTGGAGCACAAGCCTCTCCAAGTGATAAGAGAGGTTCTTCGGCGTATTCGATGAGAGGATCGAGATCTGTTGGAGGAGGGTTGTCCGCTGTTGTATTTTTTGTATATGGATCTTTTGCATCAAGTTCAGCATCTCGATTATTTACCATACCACCATCATTGCCGATAGTGTCTAGTGACTTGTCCAACCTTTTATCATCGATATCCATTATAAAAGTCTGAGAATCCATTCCGCGAAGCTCATTAGAGAACACAGTAACATCCTTAGTCTGTGTACGAGCATTTCTTGTCTTTTTACGCGGTTTTTCATAACGAGTCCGTGGATCATACATTGGTTGAGGCTCAAAAATCGCATTGTCCTCGTGGAAATTGAACATTGGTGAAGTTTGATTGTGAATATTTCTTGTGTGCAGTTTGCTCTTGTTATCGTAGTCCATCAGGTTAAGCTATCGAATTTAAAATGTCGATGTAACTAGTGCTTCTAAAGAAAAAAGTAAATAAGATTTAATTTGACTAAAACTATTGTATCATATCGTGAGCGTTAGATTAAAAGTGATTATTTCATTCCTCTTTTGTCACAGAAGTCTTTCGCGAAAATTACAGTATATGAGGACTGTATGAAATATTTGTATTAGCAAAAATATTCTTAGGCAAGTCAATAAGGCGTCACTACATTTCCTTTATTCGTGCTGATAAGAAAAACTGCTTTTCTGGTAAAAGATTGAAAGTAGTCTCGACTTCAATTTCTCGTTCGTAAACGATGTTATGTATTGATAAAGAAAAGTCGACTCGTATGCTCTTAACGCACTCAGTTCACCATGAATATTTCACATAAACAAATGTAATCGAGCAATAAATCGTCATCGTATACTTCAGTTTCACTCTTCTCTCCTTGTTCAAATTAGATGTTCCACTATCTCGCAGCATTTTACAAAACTATTGATAGTTTCACAGATACTCTGTCAATATTCCTTTAAAAAAAAGAGAATTTCTCGATCATACTTTTGATTCTGACGGGATTTCAAATATGATTGATACAGCCGTGATAATTAATGATGATCTGTGTTTGAGAACGACTCAAATCGAAGCTATGGTGATCAATGAAACAGCCAATAGTTAAAACAAAAATAGAAAAATAGGTAAACATTACAAAAAGAATGACTTTTATATCCGTATTTTGTATAGTAATCATCGAAGCGTGGTTTAATTTTCGCCAACTATTTCGTAAAAACATCCGATGTTGAGGAGCCCTCATCACAAAAAAGTGTATTTCTCCCTATGCGAGGTATATACTTGTCACTCAACTGACAAAAAGAACGAAAGTATATTATTTTTTTCCTATATGTAATAGGTGTAATATTTATAAGGGATGACTGGAAAAGACAGGAAATCAAAATATCGAAAACTAATGGCGATAAGACAATTGTCTAAAATGATAATATCGAAAAATAAAATATTCAAAGCATCGTTTTTGTATAACAAAGCAAAATATATTATTGTTGACATTTTTTTGCTTAAACTTTTTTCATGTCCGATATTTATTTTTCAACAATTTGTCTTTCGACATTTTGTTTGTCGGTGTTTTAGCAGTAGACCGTTTATAATGTATAGATATACATTGGATGATCAACAGCCCATTCTACGCATAAATATCGTCGACGTTACCTGACGATTGGGACGGTGAGAGGATTATTTTCAACCTATGCATTTATGTTGGCTTCTAACCATCTTACAAGGTAAACACGTTTTTATCGCAGATATAAATCGAAATGTGCAGGAAAGAAGGATTAATGGTCGCGAGTTATGTAATTTATAATGTTTTTAGTTTGATTCGTTGTTATATGCAGAAATGATAAATCAAACAAGACAAGAATGAAATGATTGCTAATATGGTCTTTTAAATATCAACGATAAGAACATTTCACATTTAAATCAGTAAATCTGTTTTTAAGTCAAATAGGATCTGCTTCATGTATAGTTGTCACTTTCACATACTCCTAGTCGAAAGTAAAACAACGAAAAGACTTGTGACGTAGATCAAGATCATTTCGAAACCCATAAAAATGATTAATATAAAAAAATAATCGCACGTCCTATTTTGTCTTCTGTTCGATTTTGACAGATATTACTTATCGTTCAGGCCGTAAGATATAGAACAGTATGATAAGAATGGGAATCGATACAGATGTCATACTCACGCATTAACGTATGATAAAATCTTGAAAATAAGACGACATAGCCAGGCACATAAGATTAAAATCGTAGTAGATACCATCACCATATCCACACTATCTATCCTAAAAGCCAATATCTCATCTTTCGAAAGTAGAAATATCGTATTGGTAGAAGAAGAAGAGTGCCATAATCAAACAAATACATGTAACTGATAAATACCGTATTGCGTTCTGAATTACTGAACTGATAGCGAATAGTTAATTTCCTTTCCTTTCACATGAACGCTCACGACACGATCCATAATGCTGAGAGTAGCAATGAACACGATTGAATATAGAATCGACACAGCATTTGATTGCTGGGAAAATAAAGGAACGAAACATAATGCTGTAAAAACCAAGAGCACTACTAAGAAAAAACCAACGATGAGTGCAAATGGCTGTTCAAATATGACATGTATACCATGAATGATATTCATCATTTCATTATTTCTGTTAGATTTCCCGCGATGCCTGAGATTACCATCCGTGTTAAGTGCCATTTGGGTATCATGTTCTTTTCCACTGAGTGTGCTGTAAATTTCTTCTAGACCTTTTACAACGGCAGCAGCAATGAATATTCCTGTTATCGCTTTAAGACTCATCTAACTCGAAAATTCGATTTTGTCTGATATGAAGAAAGAAAATAATATGTAAAAAGTAGTCAAAGAATGGATTTGTTCTCTCAGATCCAATAAATTGGATGTGATATTTATGATAAGAACGAAACGGCACCATCAAATCCGGTATAAAAAAGTCTAATCGGTTTGTGAGTCCTATAAACTTACACGTGCGTTTTTGTTGTTGAAACTGAAGTGTTTAGAAAGTTCCTATGAATAAAAGACGAATTCCTTTGTTTGTGCTTTTGCGATATTCTGTTTACAATTGATAGATGTGTGAGACATGGGAACGAACGAGAGATTTCAATGAAGAAATCATGCTCAAAAGCAGAATAAATTTCCATCAGTGATATACCGTGAATGTGAGTAAATAATCCTCCCGGAAATTTGTTGCCTATGCTGTGAAGCTCGCTTAATGTATATGGAATGGAATGTATGAAATCGAGCTTTGCCACGTGGATATTTGTCAATGTAACAAATGAGTTCATGAGATTTTCCATTGTAAACTATATGTTGTATTTGATTAGTCTTTGTGCTGATATGAAATAAGCGAGAAACTTTTCATAGTCCTTTACTTATTTTTCTCATCTTTGTTGCTCGATCGAAACATTATTGAAAAGAATTTTAAAAATCAATGAAACGAATTCGAACGACAATGAGACCATGGCGACCATAAACAAATATACAATCAAACAAAAACATTGTTTTGAATTGATAACATTTCTAGGAAGTGACCTGGCGGATGTCATTTTTGTTTCTTACTCACAAGAATTCAATCTTTTCATCTTCCTTCGAATACTGATTGTATACAACTCTCTTTCTTATTCATCATATCTTCATCTTCGTTGTATAATCATTATTCACATTGTTAATTCGCTACATGTTGCTCTATAACACTAGTAAAAAAGAATAATATACTTATGCTTTTTTATTCTTCCACATTTCGTTGACACCCGACACAGTGATTCAAAAAAGGGAGCTTGTGAATGTATATTACAAACAAATATCAGTACTGTAGCAAGGTGAAAAGTTTCTTCCAACTTAACGTGAAGCGAAGGAAAGAGAAACACAATTATATTGAGTTTAGGGTGTATCACACTGAATAAAATATTCTGTTATCATGTATTTTTAATGCGTATTGCATCTAGGAAAGATAAGCTGTGGGAAAGAACATTAACTACAACATATATTTTTACAACATACATTGTATATCTACTCTCATTCAAAGATAAGCGTGTGTATTTCTTTCTCAACAGCAGAAAACTTGAACACGCTACCAGTACATACTACATTGATTCGATCAATAATGGCGGCTTTTGTTCCTTTAATAGCATCCGCTGGTTCGTTTGTTGTTCGAGTATTGGGTGAATCCGATATCAACGAAAACACAACCCAGTTTTTGGCCAAGAAAATCAATATCGAAGTGGCGACTCGAATAATATCTGAAAATATTACATACTACGTTTCAATAGTTACTTTCAAAGCTGTATGTGATATTATTGTGGTATCTGTAGTCGGTCGAAAACTTTATCATATGTTTCAACAGTTATGGAAAATTCTAGAACCCTTGTTGAAATTGGGTCTCAAGGGTTTCATCGATGGTATTGCGAAATGTGAAAAATGTATTCAAGCATCTTTGAAGGAGTTACTTGAAAAAGGCGTTTCTTTTCATACCATTTATGATAAAGTTCGCCCTCACACAACAGTCAGTAATGTATTAAAAGCGCTTGATGGCATTTATAAATTTATTTGTAGCGCGAAGGCTGGATTTTGCTATACAATAAAATTTGAATTAACTAAATATTATCTTGAGATCGTCGGTTTCATACGAGCTTTATGCGAAAAACTTAATATAAATTTTTTGAAATACTTAGCACAAGCTGATGTTGAATCAAAGTAAATACTTCCATCTTGTTTTCAGGAACTGCATTTGTCTTTTTGTACAGTAACGGCGAAGATCACGCAATAGAAGAAAACGATGGGCCACTTACATATCTTTTCGAAGTTTCACTTGAACAACTTCTCCAAGGAACTGAAGAAAACTTGCCAATCACCCGTGAAGTCCAAAAAATCAACCAGCCGATCCGACAAGAACGTCAAATTTATACTATTAAAATTGAACCAGGTTGCAAAGAGGGTCATGTTATTCGTCTCCCACAAGTTGGTAATCGAGATCCAATAAATATCCCGGCTGATCTTTTGGTTACTATCCGGTCCAAGCCTCACCCATTATTCAAGCGTGAAGGCGCCAATTTAATTTATGTCAAAACGCTTAGTTACGCGGATGTAAGTGTCAAGTTTATTTTTTATTATTTTCTATATAGTTTCTTTAGTCTCGAAGTGGTAATCGAATAGAAGTTCCGTTACTCAGTGGAGAAAAAATACTCGTCGATCCTAAAGGACCTATCGATATTAACAAAGAGCTGGCTATTCCTGGACACGGGCTACCCAATCCGGATCGGAATGGTGAACGCGGTCAACTTCTTGTTCGTTTTGACATTCAAGCGCCGACCAATCAAGTGCTTTGCGACGATATCACCGTGTTAACGCCAACTGAAGGAATTTCCATTGACCAAATTCACTAAACTATATGAATTTACTCATTAATCTTATATTAACGTACAATTATCACAAATAAATAAAAACTTTTGTCAATGATTCTGTGTCGTATTGATACGGTCTATTTCTCTTCGTTGCTGTGAACTTTGATAGATCTTTGCACTACTACACCTTTCTGTCGTGTAAGTGTTTCGTTCCGAGGAATGTTGCATACAAGCATCCGATGTTGTTGAACGATAATCACGCTCTGATTAATTGTTGACACAATTGATCTTGTGTAGAAGCACTTCGTTGAATACTTCTCGCTTGAGTTTTAAGAAGTTTCACTGATCGATCGTAGTCAGTTTCGCTCATAGCCTGTTTTAGCACCGCTGCTGTTTGTACTCGATTTCGTTGGATATCAACTGCTTGATTAACTTGACAAAGTTTAGTTGATAAAGACGAACTTTGTACAAGATGAAAAGGAACAGGTAATGAAGCAAACGTCTCACTATACTATTTGGTTCGAGATAAGTGATTGATACATAACCTAAATAGCAGTGAAAATATTTCAAACGGTCATTACTGATAACAACACAAACCAATAATATGATTCTGTTGTGATTTATTGATTGTTTGACTCCATGCTGGAATATTTTGTTCCTCTGATATCGAAAAAGAAGATTTCGTTTTTCTTCGATACTGAGATCATTTAATTTAACAATCACCCTTGCCGATGGTAATTGTTCTGGCTCATGTTGGTAATGTGAAAGACTTTCTATGACTTGGTTTCCATTATAAAATTCCATTTCAACTCGAATTTGTTTCGCTATACATGTTAACAAGCCAGCCATCGCTGTCGCAAAAGCAGAAGCATTTACTTCAGGTTTAACCTCAAATGTCAAATACAAGATTTCAATATGATATGTCCTTTCTATCACTTACAATATAGGTGGAATGTACCTCCATTGCCCAATTCAGCTATTCTCACTAATAGAGCAGATGAGTGATCAGATCCATATCCGAACGTGTGACAATTGGTATTTTCTGGTAATCTTCTCATTAGTTGGGAATAATCACAAGGATTGTTGTCTTCACCATCGGTGAACAAAAGTAGCGCATTGAGTGGGTTTTTAGTGCGATGATTGACGAATAAATCAATAACCAAACTACAATGGAATATATAATGGATGAAGTACGAAAGTTATGCGACTTACTTTTGTTCATTCATACGTTTAAGATTGTGAAAACGATCGAAAGCTCATCTATCAAAAGAAACAATAGCTAGTCGATCGAATTCATTCAATCGTTCGGCAACATAAGTCAATGTTTGTTTTAATAAACTTATTCTTCTTCCGCAGACATCGAACTACTCTGATCGACAACGCAAATCAAATCAATTGGAGTGTGAAATCTTCTTGATAGTTCACTACCCGAAGGCGCTTCAAAGGTGACAAGTCTGTGTATCGTAGACTCTTCAGTCGACAACTGACCACCGAATTCTAGCGTAAGTGGAACGGTAATGAAGGGCATATCCGATAAAGCATTAGTTAGTTGAGCTCCAGGGAGCTCATTGGACGCAATTTGAGAAGTCCTTTCATGAACAGGATCTACCACCGAAGGAATAATCTAACTAAGTGGCAGAGTAAAAACACCCTTCAATTCTTAGTCACATCTTAACTTGCATTAGTAGAATCTCGTACAAATCGATCATTTCTACCAGTAGATGGTAGCAATCTACTTCGATTAGGATTTATTCCGATGAAAAAGCTGCGAAGTGTTAGTTTCGACTTTCTACTATTTGAATCAACTGTGGTTCGACACAGCGGACATTGATGATTGTCCGCTTGCAAATTCAATGCAAAGCATTCCAGATGAAACTTATGGCTGCATGGCAGCGTCAATAGAGGTGCACCGGGTATCAGAGCGCACAAACAAATTGAACAATCGTCAGGCGTTGCTGCAGCAGAAGAAACTCGCGACATGTATGCTGTGTTCAAATACAAAAAGGAATTTTATATGTTACAAATTAGAAAAAGCCAAGTGAAGTGATTTGAGTGTGCGTTTTAAATAAGTAAACAAAAGGATGTTGGAAAACAACGTACACATTTTCAAAGTCAGTTTTTTATTTAGAATAGAAACACACTGATATGTTTTCATTGTAAATTGCGTGCGTTGGACACATTTCGTAACTTGATTTGTGCAACAACATGAGGCTGCGTATTTCCGATAGCGACTCCTACTACCGCTCTTCTTGGCATCAAATAAAATGACGCGCGACGGAATTCAGTGAATGTCATCAGATAGATCGGAAAGTTCAGAACAGGAAATGTGTATAGAATCAAATTACATACGACAATCACACTACGACCCACCCCACTTGCGAAAAGAGTATAATAGAAGAAAGAATAGATGAGCGAAGATGGTGTTCGTGTCATCACGAACAGGAAACTCGTGATGATGAGAGTGATCGTAATTGATCGATGAAGAATTTTCGAATTGCGTATGCTTGTCGTATGTCGTAGTTTATAAAGATGATATATTGAAATGCCGTTGAATGACAGGGTCAATGTCGATGGAATAAGATTATAAACACATAGATGTATCCTTTCAAATGTAGGATATAAACTGAACAGCCGAGCGTTTTGATTGATGCTTCCGTCAAGATCTCTGTAGCAAGCAAAGACCAAGAGAGGAAAATCGAGAAGAAAAAAGATTCCAGCGATGCAACCAATGATGATCAAGACACTTTTTGATCGATTGAACCATGTTGTTGGTTGTATCCGACTCATAAACAAATATCGATCAAAAGAAATAGAAACGTGCAACCATGCCGAGATCTGCAGCGTCCAGTAATTGAAAAACAGAAAGAACTTACACGATGCAACTGTATACGAATAATTCAGTGTAAATCCATAGACAGCATCAAAATAAGCATCAAGAGTCCATCCATACAGACCAAGAAAGTCAATTGCTGCTATGGCACGCATGTAGTGAATCATTGGACGAACCTGACTATTTCGAAATGTTGTTCGACATAAGACAGTGAGTGTGAAGAGATTGAATATTGTACCAAGCACAACCATCGATAAGCAATAGTAGCCCATGAAAGTGAAGGGATCGGGTTCTGAGTTACTTGCGTTTGACATATCAGTGACGTTACTGGTGTTCATGTTGTTGTTTGAGAACTATGTTGAAATAAATGAGTCTGTCAGCTCTATTTGATGCAGTCTACTACATTTCGCTATACATGTTGAAAATAGATTAAACATGAAATACCGCTGTTTGGCAGAAGTCACGCCTTTTAAACCACATGAGCAGAATGAGATTATAAGCAAACTCAGGATTTTTGTTAGAAGAGTTTAATTGGTATTCGGTAAAGCTAGTTCTTTAATGTGCATTTTTTAACTTTTAGTTGCTCGAAGTAATTAAATTTATGACGTCAAAAAAGCACGATTCGGACACAAGTGTTCTTTGATATGTTAGTGCTATTTTCAAAACTACGATTTAAATGTATCGTTTTATAGTGAAACACCGTACAGTTTCTAACAATGGTAGAAGACCAAAGACGAGGAAAGATGCGCTCGTTGAATTTTTTATCCACCATAGCCAGTCACTTTGATGGAAATGCTTTCATTGTAATGTAAAAATAAAAAATCCTGAGGAAAAAAAGAAATGCTCACATCTACTCTCATTGAATATTAATAATGCACAAGTGATTCTTTTTATATCAATGTTTGTTCAGATAGTCGGAAAGTGTTGAGTTGGATTTATACATCTCTTCAAATATTCTTCACTTAGGAAAAAAAGCTTTTATAGATTGGAGATGAGGATTTCTCTAATTCAGTCAGATTAGATCGACTGGTAAAGTGAAAATCGAAAATCATGAGTGTCGAATCATATGTCAAAGCTTCACTTATCATTGGCTTATTCGGTTTAATCGCAATTTTATCCTTGGTATACTTGCTAACAATTTTACTTATTCCTCGCTTTCACAATTCGAATAATTTCTTCATTGTCAACATATGCTTTAGTACGCTTGTCACTTCCGTATATTTTATGATATTCTATACATCATATTACATAACATCTCGTGATATCTTCACTTTGAATGGATGTGTCAGGTTATATTATATCTTCAATATTGCCAGTGTTGCAATTCCGTTTGCATTTGTGGCGTTTTCTGTTCATCGATATTGTTCTATCAAATATCTCAATGAATCTTTATTTCAAACAAAAAAGTGGACTGCAACATGTATCATCACACAGTGGGTCGCAGTTCTGATGATTTCATTGCCATCTGTGTTTCAAAAAACAGACGTAAGTTGAAAAGAAAAATCTTTTATGAACTTATTTCTATTTGTAGGTTTGCGTCAATGTCCTATGGTTACGAATTTATACATTAATCACAGCTGTAGTGCTGCCATCGATCGTAAATATTACTTTGAACGTTTTGATTTTTCATCACGTTCGATTATCTACACGTCGTGTTCAACCTCATACCAATCAAAAGATGAATTTCAGTCGAAGAGACATCTCGTTACTTCGACAGATGATTTCCATGTTTATCGCATTCATCGGCGGATGGAGTGGAATATATATCAGTATAATTATCACTCAATTCCTCAAGATTAATGAGTGGATTCGTCCCGCTCTGGTCATCTTCAGTGATTTGTCAATATTGGCTATACTTATTAATTTATTTATTCACAATCACGAAGTGAAAAGTTATTTATTTGACAAAATTCGTCGCAATTTTCATCATTAAATCGTCTTAAATTTTTAGAAATATCAATTCGCACACAGATGGACGCTGTCTAAGACTAATGAAAACTAGAGGTTTATGCGTGAAACAGTGTACTTGGAAGCAAGAACTTCAGATTGAAGGTTTTGTTGTTGTGCTTTTTATAACAGAAGGATGCTACATAAAAGCTTTCAAATAGAAATTCACATGATTTCAATAAAAACAGCTATTTTTTCCCTTCAGTAATTGCACTGTCATATTGAATGAGTTTGAGTGTTTCATAATGTACATTAAGTTTTCATATCTTCCATTATAGAACATCGCAAAATACTCTTTTGTAATCACGCATTTTCTTGTGAGCAATCATGCCTTTGACACAACTTTATCTCTTCTCCCTCATCATCTCCGCTTGCTTCAGTCTCAACGAATCCATCCATCACTCGTTGATCAAATTAACTGATACTGGTTTTCAATTCCTACCGATTAACTACCAAGCTCAACTCCTATCGACATCCATCATTCAGACTAATCTCTTCAAAACATGTTTCATGTTATGTAATAATGACATTTCATGTCGAATCTACGATATCAATGCACTCCTACCCAACCAATGTCGACTCTTTCAAGGTGACATCAATCTGCATGGTACTATCGTCTCATCCTCATTCACCAACTCAAGAGTTGGCTCCGTTCAGTATTCGGCTAGTCTCTATTCGAACTATGGCCA